AGAGAGCAGACTCAATGCGAATGCACGCCGTATTACGGGGCGGTCAGCGCGCAACCTGAGGAGCTGTGACTTTACAATAGCTCATGAGAGATCGGCATCACACTTTCCTATATTGGCATCCGGTGTCCAGGCGTCTGGATCTACACTGAAAGTCGGCTCCCTCCGGAGAGCAAGACAAGGCCGCCGTCAAAAATCACCCCACCAGAACCTGGTCGGATGGCTAATCAAGCCCATGGAGCCGATGTGCGCGAACATACTGGCCAAGCCAGCCAAACAACAGACATAGACATGTCTACGAGGAGACATATGCTCGAATTCTATTCTTTCGTGCTCAAGACTGCGTCAGTGGGTAACAAACGATACCACCAGACGACCGTTCTCGAATATCGCGGCATTCACATGCAAGTATATTGCTGACTGGCATGGCCGCCGAACTCAAATGATGATACCCCGACGCCCGTGGTTCTGACATCTGAGCTCTTGTAGGACGTCCCGTACGGAGCTCGGGGTCAGCAGCCTGGGGCCACGATCTTCTCTGTGCAGGCAGCCTTCCGAATGGTTTAGCGCCAGCTCGCCCATCTGTTTGGGCACAGCGCATAGTATATCAGGATAAGACGAGAGGGAGAAAGATGTAGCCTCCGCCCTGTCTGAAACGCCCTCGCTGCATGGGATTGTGTACTCGTACAAGCGTACAAGTTCCATGTTTACGAACCACGTGCAGCGGTGTAGGTATATGCCCGTGGTGAGTCCCGACTTTTTTCTATCCTTCTTGGCGCTTGACTAGAACGGTTCTGGTTATCCGAGTGAAGTGTTGTCGAAAATGTTGCCCTGAAATTCTTGCTTGTTGATCCCTGACAGAGCTAACCTCGGATTCCGGAGAAGTGAAAGGTGGCGTTATCACAATTATCATCATGGAGGAGGTCGAGATGAAACCAGTTGAAGCTCCTCGAAGGCTAACATAGGTGGCTGATCTAGTTTCCCCTTGTCAAGACCCTTGGGGAAGGGCTACGTTGTGCTCTGTATGCTTGCCTCCAAACATTCGAGCTGGACAATGTGGCCATGCCTGGCCACGCCTGGCAAGCCACCAGCTCTGCTGTGATAGGGAATTAGATTAGGCCACACGGCTATCTAGCGAGCTAGCACGGAGTGCTCCGTACTTCTGGCACTAGTGGTGGTAGTGCTACAAGCCATGCTTGCGTCTTTCTCATCCTTGCCGCGTCCCGGAAGCCTGCATGCACGGAGTACGGATAAGTGTTGCAAGAAGGTCTCGTTTGGAGCCGAACCGGGGTTACCGAGCTACAATACAGCCTTTTACACCCACATTCCGGCTAGACAAAGAAGACAGGCGCATTGTCTGCAGACCCCTCCAAGATCCTTGGGCAAGGTGCAGGCCTTGAGCGATTTACACGGCCTGCATTGGCTAGTACGGTACTATTACTAGTCATATACGAAAAATATTAGTTACCCATGGCGGTAAAATTCTGGCAGCGTTGCCTAGAGCTGCATTTGTGCGGGACAGAGGACGCAAAGATTCCACTGGCGCGAAAGATGCAGCAGACGCGAATGCCGGGACCATGATGGATATCAGTTGGTGTTCCGAAGGATGAACTACTTGTTCCAGCCCACAATCTGAACCGTAGGGCCATGACGCTGATGTTAGTCGACAACAGCGGACCTCGGGCCTGCAAATCTGATAGGCTGCCCCCATCGGTGGAAGGGATGCCGACATCTATCCGGAAATGTTGGAATCAACCTGACTATATGGGGGGTAGTCCTTTCGTACGAGTACAGTACATGCCGTCCGAGAGACGCATGAGTTGAATTGGGGCCAAATATGCCTCCTAGCGTCGGAGTCGTGGGACACTGTGGGGGAAGCTCAAGGATTCCCTGCTTCTGCTGGACATCCTAGCCAAAGCCGGGCGGCTAGCTAAGTAGACTCACAACCTCCGGATGCTGGCGTCCTGGGGAGATGGCTTCTCTGGTGGGCTAGATTGCTTTTAGCATTCTCGCTGTGGGTTCAATGGGACTCTTCGCGATAGGGGCCCTCTTGATACCGCACGTGCGACTCGGCTAGAGCGCCAGCTTTTCCCGAAGATGAAGGCTTCTACGAGCCTTATCACTTGGCGGCAGATATCCAAATTAGGCTGTCGCTGGAGCTAGCAGGAAAGGGTGGCCGCCTTTTTGGCCTTACAGCTCTAGCTGAAAGACATAAGCTCCCGTGGTAGCAACCGAAGCTGGAGGGCTGCAGTCGCCTGACATGTCCGGGGAGGGTGGCTAAGCAACAGCCGTGCCAACCTAAAGGCACCCGACATCAAACAAGGAAGTATATGCAGGATGGCGCTCCTGCGATACGCCAGCGGTCTACTGGCGCAGTACGAGTATGGCTCAAGGACAGGACGCATTGATATTACGAGCACTCCGGAGCAGTTGTGCGAAGGCGAGCTGGGCTGACGCTTGAGCTGATTGGTACTGTACGGGAAGGGGGTGTGCAAGGCTTCCCCAGTCCAGCCATGTTTGCCGATTCCTCATGTCGCAATGGACACCTTCTAAGGCCAAGTTGCCTGCTGTCGTCGGTCCACGACTAAACAGATGCCCATGTCCGAATTACGTATGCTCACCGATTCGTTAAGCGCCTGTGATTTCGGAGAAAGCTTCCGTGTCGTGCTGTCTGCGCGCGGAGTATTACACGGGAGGCCCTCCGCTTCGACGCCAGAGACGCTGACTGCAGCCATGAAGGTCGCAACGCTAACTCCTACCTGGCCTTTGCAGGCCCAAGAGGCCAGCACGGCACTATCTGTCGATCGTCGGCGAGTGATGCGGCAAACGGCTGCGGCAAACCACGGCGGCTTTGCCGAGATAATGCTACTGTCGGAGCATGTATACCTGGACGGAGGACGGAACATAACCAGGCTAGTCTTTTGTTGGGGTTGTGGACAACATGTTTCACCTGACTTGGCACGGGGCTCGGACTCTTCATACAATTACGAAGTGCGGAGTACGAAGAACGGACTTTAACTCTGTGCCTTGGTGCCAGTGCTTCCTACCATGCTAGGTTAAGGCCGTGGCCCCCACGATACTGCTTGGAGCGGGCTGTTTTGTCGTTTGCTATTGTGGGAAGATGTCCTGTGGAGGGCTTTTGAGACTTGTTTAGCCCGTCCTTTCAGCAGTGACTAAGCTTCCCACTATGGGAGGTCCGCCTGGAAAACGATCCAGCTTGCCGGAAATGTTTTGCGGAGTCATACATCTTCACCGAGTCTTTTCCAGACTTGCCGCTTGGGTGTTTGGACACCTGATTCGTGCCAAGCAGCTGCTCTTACTAATGAATACCCTCGGCGGCGTTCGGCTCATGTATCGATGGATTGGATCTCACTGCAGCCCCTCAATCGCGGGGACGAAGAGATTAAATAGTATCATCTCGGTTTACCCACCGCTGGGCCTAGGCACAATGGAGTGGAATGACGCAAGTGTGCAGGAATAAGGCTTACGAGTACAGGTTAATGCTCCGGACTGCTCTCCAGTAACACCAACATGATACTACCTGCATGTACTCCGTACAGGTACGAGTATGTACTCGTACGCGTGATGGCGGCAGATAGGGGGGCTCTGTGAAATCCGGAGCATATACGAAGTATTTTGTGCTCCGTATCTACCGATTAGCCAGCGCTCGCATTTTAGCTCTCAGGCACGCGTGGCCCTGAAACAACGATTTCAGTCTAATCCGGGAGTGGCTGCCGACTGTTGCGGCCACCGGCTGGCAAACCGATCTCGAAGACCAAGATGGACTCGATGCATGAGGTCGGCTCACTCCTTAGGGCATGTCTCGGGTCGTCGGACAATATTCCTGTCAGCAGATGGTTCAAAGCGTCGAAACCTAGCTTACCCCCTGATGAGATCTCCGGCCGCTGTCTCGACTTTTCGCGCCATACGAGTCCAGTACATACAATGTCCGGAGTTAACTGCTAAGCGAGCCTGCCGTGTGGGCGGACTTACTCGTGCTTTGGTCGTACAAGAATAGGCGTCGTGATTTGTAAGAAACCGTCTCTCTCTCTCTGTGTGCCTGATGTTTCTTGCACACCTCTATTTGCCACCCGCCCGTTGTTCTTTCGCAGTGGTTTCTTCTTCTTCTTCTTCTTCTTCGCAACCCATGGTTGGAACAAATGACTTGTATGGCTGGCTGCGAGACTTACCCCCCCTTACATTGTTGCCCCCGTTCTTATACGATAACCGTCGGTTTCTTGTCATGTACCTGCATGACATTATTTCGAGCATCTTCTCTTGGTCATATCTGACAAATGGAACTCTCATTGCTTACTTTGTGCCGAGTCGTGCTTATACCAACACGTTCATTTTTGTTCAACGCTGGAGTTTTCGCCACGCTTATTCACTAAGAAGTGGCCTCCTACTGCGTACTTTTCTAAGTAGGCCTATGTACCAACAAAAATCGGCCGAATCGCTTGTGATACACCCTTTTTCGGTGGTGATCTTTGCTGAATAGGGGGTGGATCTACTTACGATGCCAGCTATGGCATCATTATCTTTAGCCCCCTAGAGTCAAAATGAAGTGCCCGTATTCGTAGTCTTGTAGATTCGAAAATATACGTAAGATGGCATAAGAGATAGTGTCAATAAGACTGATGCGCATAATCATGAGTAGACAGAGATAGTCAATAAGTTTAACGCACATAATCATGAATCTATTCACTGTCCTGCCCCAAAAGTGTATCGATTGCCAAGTCAAGTACCTAAGGAAAGAAAGAATCTTTTGTTCTTCGCCGTAGATGAAATATTCCCACTCCCTTCCTATCCCTAACATCATCAGAGCAAACAAGAAAAGAAAAAAGGGACAAAAGTAAATCGAAAAGTTTAAAAATAAAGTTTAGGCATATCGCAGAAGAAACAATTCTGCTCTTTATCCACAATGTCAAAGAATCATGCACCGTAAACCTAGCAAAAAAACAAAAGACAAAAACAGTAATCTGCTCGTCTCGTCTTCTCTCTATTCAACCCTCTGCAGTGTCCATAGCATCACCCCCCGTGGTCGTGGAAAGCTTATCCTTGGACGCCTGAATCTTCTCCTGCCGCCACTTCTCAATCTTCTCCTTCAACTCCGTCTGGGGAATCGCGTCCTCAATCGTCATGGGCTGTCTTGTAAACGGATCCTTTGGATCGCTCAGCAAATGCTGCACAATCGTGGACCGGTCGACAATGTGCCTGCTCGGCAGAAGCACGGGGTCCTTCATCAGCTCTCCCATGATGGGGTCCTCAAACTCGGGCGGAATGTCGCCCAAGTCGAGCTCGGCCTGGTCTTGTATCTCCTTGGTCTCTGCAAACTTGGCCTTGAGCTTGTCCCACCGGGCAATGTCTGCGGGGTCCTTCTGGTGCTTCGACGAGAGGATCCGCGAGACGCGGTCGAGGACCTCTCCCTTGTATGAACGGCCATCCGCAGCGACGGCCTCGATAAAGACCTTGGATGCACCAAGGTTCAAGTAAATTTCGACAAAGTCGGAGAGCAGCTGGATGGGCCGGAAGTGATACTTTTCCCTGTTAGAAACGCTCAGCTCGGCAGCAGCCCGCTTGCCAGCCAGCGTCTCAAGATTGTAGTTCAACATGCTTGCCAGACGCGACACAATCTCGGGCATAGTAAAAGCTTCGCTTAACGTTTTAGTGAAGAGCTTCATCATCTCGAGCGTTTCGTTGGCCAGCTGCATGTAGGATGTTGCTTGACTTCCCAAGTTCTGCAGCTCTTCATCCTTCTTCTGTCTGTCCTCTGCAGAGAGGCTGCGATCCTCGAGCTCGCGCTCAAGAGTACGCATCTTGGGGAATTTTGTAAATGCTTCATCAAGGACGTATGTGGTATCGTTCAAAAGCATGTTGACAAACTGGACAAAGAAGCCTCGGTTCACCCTGTAATGTTTATTAGCCACATGTCAAACGTTGAACAAAACATAATGTCCCAGAGCTTTTACTTACTTGCTTTCCTTGATAAGCTGCTGTCGGTAGACGTCGTTGACCCACACACATTTGATGACCTGGAAGATTTCGTATCGGATATTGAATTTGTCGTAGAACTGTGAGTTGGCTCCCGTGGACTCGCACTCAATGTAGAATTTCATCAGAGCGTGCAAGAGGTAGTCGTTGGCAAATTTAATAGAGATGAGCTGGTCACCTAAAACACCTCTCTTGAGATGCATAAACGGCCAGGTCCCGGAGAAGAGCAGAGATACCAGTGAAGACTTGAGGTAGGGGTTTTTGATCTGTTCGGAAGATCGAAGGAATGTGATGCACAGGGCAATCATTTCTTCGCCCACTGCACTAGGGAGAATGGTAGGTAGCCATCTGTCGCGCAAAGAAAAATTTGTTAGTTTTGGCAGTTCCCATTGGGGACAAACCAGGCTTACCGGAACACGAATTTGAAGTTGTCGACGATGTTCTGAAGCGTATACTCGGGGAGATATGCAAAAGCGTCAGAGTGTCCTATCTCGATGGGCAATCTAACAGCAACATTAGCACTTTCTCTAGATGTAAATTCCGAGAGCAGGGATCGCTCAAGTCTTACTTGATGGTCTCAGTCTCAGTTCCAGGCTTATAGTCGGATCCGGTGGCAATCCGTAGCAGCCATACAGTGACATATCGCATGAACCGCAAAGATGTGCTCTGCATCCTCTCGTCAAGAAGAACACCCTCAATCGAGTACTTGAGAGCTATTGTCTTCTCCAATACATTGTTGTGGCGTTTCAGCGTTTCCTCAAACAGCCTCAGCTGATGGGGAGCATTCGCCAGCTTGGGGCGCTCTGCCTCCATAGCTTTAAGGTGCTTCTCCAGGTATTTAATTTCGCGGTCCAGGTTCTTAAGCTGAGAGTTGAGTGCCTCGCTGCCGTAGTGGTGAGCAGCCAATGTCAAAAAGAAGGCCTCGGAGATGAAGTTAGACTCCCCATCCTCCTTTTCTGCGTAATATTTATCGGCGGCAGCTTGATCAGCGTTAAGTTTGGTCTCATCGCTGATGTCGACACGCGGCTGTCTTCTGAAATATCGTACGTCAATCTTGTCAATTTTGCTGAAATCGTTCTCCATGAAGGGCTCGCAGAATCGGTCCAAAATTGTCGTCACGTTCATCATAAAGCCATCTGAAGCCACCTCCCGGGGATCAACCTGGATGGCTCTCCGCTTGTGGTTTGTGTTTAAAATGTATGCAAACCAGTCTAGTGTACGGTTTCTTGTATCAGGCCCTGCCCGAACAAACGCATTGGTAATAACGAATAAGTCATCTTGGTGCGTTCTCAGCACCATTCTCAGAGCGTCTTGTGCATTAGTAATTCGCGCCTTGTCTAGAGTGCGTGATCCAGGGAAATAGCTCTTGATCACTTCTGGTTGTAAGGGAGATAGACGGAAGAAGGGGCCTAGGATAGTATTTCTCTCGATACTGTGGGGAGATAGGGGGAGCTTGAAGCAAGCGTGCTTTGCAAGATTAGATACCAGGACAGGGAATCGTGCGTATGTTTGCAGCGCCTGCAAATATCAAGCGTCAGTTCATCTTGTAGCTAGCGGTGGCGATCCCTGTGCTTGAAAAAGAAAAAGAACAACCGACCTGAACATAGGGTTTGTATTCGTCGCCCATGGACAACCCCGCGAGCTGTGTACTGAGCTTGACCATTGCATCGTTAAAGATGGCAGGAAATGTTTCATCATCGTCGAATCTCTTGATTGCTTCCTTGATAAAGTCAAAGCATATTCCACCCTCGTCCACGGGACCCCTGAGGAGATAGGGAGCAATAGTGTCATGCTCTGGGTTTGGTTCGCGGCTGAGAAAAAAAGCATCAGATATGAAAACTAATAGGGGCATCCCTCAAATCACATGCAACTGACCCATATAGCACCGGCATGGTTACAGCAAAGAGGCAGTTGCTCATGCAAAGGCGCTTCGACTCCTCGTGAAGTTCAAATTTGAAGCCACTCGTTTGCTTGTTCCCCGCAGCCGCCTTCACAGCCCTCTTCCAACACGGGAGGAGATACTGCATCAGCGGCTTGTCAGGAGCCCAGCCGCTGCATGCCTCTATAATGGCCTGATCCAGGTTGTTGACGGACAGCTTCAGGGGCTCCCCAGAATCATTCAGCTCTTGATTCAGATTCGGGAGAAACGTCAGCCGGTGGTTGCCCTGGTTGCTCGTCATCCGGTGCGGGTCGACAGTGACGCGGAAGATCTGGCTGAGCACTCTGTCGGCATAGTCTTCGTCTGATTCGGCCTGGACGGGCGTGGCTTTACGCGGGGGCGGCGCTGAAAGGACGTCGTCAACTTGAGAGGCGGACCTCTTGCGAGCAACACGGATAGTACCTGTAGGTGTAGGGCTCACGGACTCGGCCGGCCTGCTCGACCTCACGCCCAGCTGCGCAAAGGGGTTTGAAGCCGGCTGGGCCGCCGGTGTGATGGTGATTTTGGTCTTGCTCGAGCTCGAGTCGTCGGCCTCGGGAGCGGGAGCTGGTGATGATGTCGAGCTGCCAGCCTCGGCGGGCTTGCTCTCTGCGGGCTTGGGGACAACCGGGTTGCCCAGCTTGGCCAGACGCCGTGCCCGAATCTGCATTTACCGTTAGTCCCTCGTGCACATCACAGCATCACTCTCCGGCGAATAAAAGGAAGCACGAGACGGCCTTACCTGCTCCATCTTTTCCTTATCAGGAGCGTCAGGCCCCGCGGGCGAGCTCTGATCGTTGGGATCCATGGCGGAGATGGAAATGGCCGTGCCGAAAAGAGGGAAAAGTCACCGAGATCCAACACCGGCGACAGGGAGATGATGAACAAAAGAAAGGGAACGGAACGCCAGTTTGCGGTGACGGGCTGCTGAAACGTAGAAGCAGGTGGAATGGCGAGGCTGACAAAGATGCAGTCCAGGTCCAGGTCCAGACCCCACGGCCGTGGTGGAGAAGAAGTGATGTCGTTCAGTCTGCGTCCTTGAGAGCGCTGTGCGGGGCCGCTGCCACTTGCTTGCTAGCGACCGGCTTCAGTGGCCAACCCCCTGTAAGTGACGCTAGCGGGTGTTGGAAGTGAGCACGCCTTGTCAGCGGCTGTACTGTAGCCTGTACTGTAGGCAGATGTTGGGAGAGATCAGATCAAGGTCACGATCAGTGTTTGGCTGAAATCTCGTGCCCAAGGCTTAGTAGTGGAGGTCCTTCTCTCTGGCTCGGTGTTGGTCAAAATTGATCCTATTGAATCCTTCTGGTTTTCTTTGGCTTTTAAATATAGGGCGATGAATCATGGTAACAGCGCATCATGCTTTGGTAAGCGGCTGCTGTCGTCTTATTCGTTCGCTCAGAAAGCATGTACAGCGCCGATTAGTATGAGGTAGCGCAAGGCATTCTCTGGCCGCTTCTGCCTACAACCTTAATAAGCCAATATGAGACAAGAAACTCTAGCTTAAGAGACATGAAGGATTATTCGCAGGACAATGAGCTGGGAAGAAGGCAGCGAAAAGGGGAAATGTAATAGAAGAAGAAGAAGAAAATCACAGCTTTCTGTATTTAGATAATCGGAGTCAGCAACTACAAATTATCGGCGGCTTTGCAGCCCTACTTTTCCATCCTGCCCTTACTAGTACTCGTACAGCTCTAGGCTTGCAGCAAAACTCCGCCAGCTCAGACAAGCATATTATAACTCCGTTGCCTCAAAGTAAATTTAGTTAGGTAGTGCTATATAAGGTACTCGTATGAGACCCAATAACTTTCAAAAGTCCGCGGGCGGGGATTGCCAATCGCCGGGGACTTGCGAGATCGGATCGGCCTTTGTAGAGACGGGATTTAAAAATATGAGATTCAGTCTTCTTCCTGCTGCGGATTTCTGCTTCATCCCAGCCGCACCCGATTCACTCTCGCTCCATCTGCATGGCTGGCGGCGGAGTTACCAGCAGTCAGAATAACGTAAGCCAGGGGGGTCATTAAGGTGCCGAAGAGAAGAATAACTCTCCCCATTTCTCCATTCTAGGGAAAGAAACGCAAGATGCGGCGGGACATTATCATTTCGAATTGCTAGAAAACTGAAGCAAGAGGTCGCCCCTACAATGCTTGTAGTCGAGAGATATAAAAACAAACCCAGCAAGTTCTCCTAGTTTTAGACGCCGTCTTCGATGTAATGCTCGGCAGTAACCCGTGTTCATAAACGCAGCATCGCTCCAAAATGTTCCATTGCTAAACAAACAAGAAAATCGCTATCTATAATCGGGGAAGGTCAACATCTGCGGCCGATGATCGTCGTCTTTGCCGCATCATGGGAGGCATCGGCTCGGGCGGCGGCGCATCCGATCCCATCGACGTCGGCCTTGTTGTTCCACTTGATGTTGGTCGTGCGTGGCCCCCCTCTTCACGAGCGCGGTTGAGGAGGTAGTTGACTTGCATTCGAAGCACATTGTTGGTGTTCCGTAGCTCAGCAACCTCTTCCCGAACGGGCATGATCTGGTTGACCATCCACATGCTCTGCCGAGCTTCGAGATGGCTCAGGTTATGGTGGACTTCTTCAAATCCGGCATCCAGGTCTTGCATCGCCCTGGAATCTCTGAATTTTGAATCGCCCGGTCGAGTACTTGGCCCAGCAACCAGATCGAGACGTCGGTTCATCTCCTCCTGCTTGGCCCGCAGATGACGGAGCTGGCTTCCTAAGCTGCCATATGTTTCTATGAGCTCCCGTTGGCTGCGAATGATGGCGCCGGATGGTGAATCTGGATGGAAAGGGCAGGAAAGGGCATGAAGCTCTTGGTGTTGCCGTATAACTCTCACTGGGCAGCCAGCAGCTTGAAAGCGGCACCCCACCTCGATGGCATCGCAGTCCAGGTTTTTATGGCCGTCCTCTTGCTCGCGAAGAATTAGCATCCAGCAGCCCGCGCACCGCGTCTTGCTCTTAGGACACTGTAGCAGATGAATATCAAGATCAGCGTCCTCGATGATGGCGTCGCAGAACGTGCAGCTGTTCTCTTGGTGCTGGCACTTGTCGTCTGTCGCCTTGTAGCGGATTGTCTTGGAGCATTCGGCATCAGGACAAGGGTATTCTCGGAAACTGCACTCCATGGTTGCGTGTCGCTCCACCACCTCTCTCCTCATTTCCTCCTCACAGCCTCTCCCGTGATGAGGGCATTTAACGATCAGGTTATTGAGCTGCGTTCGAATCAGTCGTATGGAACTAGAGCAATCTGTCCACAGCAGAGCCTCTCTGTCGATTGGACAGGCACCGCCCGCGGGGCTCGACGCCATGCTTCTGCGTAGGCATCGATAGCAAAAGGTATGGTCGCACGGAGTCGTCACAGGGTCGACGAGGGGGTCATGGCAGATGGGACATAGTAGATTCGGGTCAGGGTCGGTGACGTAGGTGAGCGCATACATGTCGAGGATGGCATTGCTGCCGTAGCGTCTTGGGATATCTAGGGATGATAGGTGCGGCTTGATCTGTGGCCCCGGGTTGGGCGTTCTCGCGGCGTAGTATTGCGAGTGTATGCCGGCGTATTGAGATTGCATGCCGGCATCGAGCATGGGCGTCTGGCTTGGGGGATCGGAGGTGACCGAGTACACGTCGGGCGAGTATCGGCCATTGTTCATCAGTCCGTCAACGCCATGTGGCATGGGGTTTCGGCGCGAAATGCGTCGCGCATTCGTCCGGTGGTCTCGAAATTCCTCGTCGCTCGAGTCGGACATGGTCACCGGCGGTGGCCAGCCAAGTTCCGACGACATGTTGTCGAGGTGAGTCTGTGTGCTGGGGAGTGATGGGGGTCCAAATGGAATGTAGTCGTCTTCATCTCGTCGCCGCCGCTGAGACGCCGAGGACATGCTGGCAGCCAGGCGAGTGAGGCTAGGCTAGAGCGAGCTGGCTGGGGCTGGCTGGAGCTGGAGCTGAATCTCGCGCTGATGCCGGTGCTTGTGCCGGTGCTTGGATCCGCAGAGCACAGACGGACGAACGGACAGTCGTGGAGAGAGGCAAGGCGAACAGAGGAATGGAGTTTTGGGTGTCAGGCAACGAAACTGTGCTTGAGGCGCCCAGATAGAAGCCCCTCAAGCATGAGAATCAGTCAAGGCTTCCCTGTAACGAGCATCTGTCAAGGGCGATGCGATGCTCATCCAGTTTAGCTGGTGGTTTGATGGAGCCAGATCAGCCGAGGGCGATTTCCAGTCACGATAAGATTTAAGAGGGTCGGGTACCTACTAGTCGTGCCTAGCGTTTCCGAGGCGGGATTGGAGTTGTTTACACTGTTTACAGCGCTTGATTGTTTTGTTTGGATACTTTGGATTTGGATTTGGATGGCGGTGGCGAGTCGGCGGGGTAAATAATTTACCGCAAGGGGATGCAAGCATTGGCACAGCCTGTTACTCACGTTGTACAACAAGGCGAATGGATTACGTGGTATCGGGTGTGAATTTATTAGTCGTAGTTGGTTTGGTTGTGGTTCAAAATGTTGAGATTCTATATTAAGGTACATGCACATGTACGAGGTGCCATTGGATGCTGGAAGGGACGCTGGGAATGCGGCATGTGCAGGTACCGGCAAGTTTCAACTGCGTGCAACCATCCACCAATAGATTGTTCGCCCAACAACAGCACTCTACCACAACAGCACCACTGCTTCAATACTAATGGTTGCATGGGTATCCCTGATTGCAACGTACTAGGCGGGTACACAAATACATCCACATACTCGAGCTCCGCTGCCATCTTGGAAGTGCTGCTACACGTACGGAGAGTTACGGTAGAAACAGGAATTACGAGGGGATTACGAGGTTGATTGTTGGTGGCTTGGATGGATTAAAGTCTGCGTAAATAGAATTAAAAGTTCCTAAGATACGAACTGTACCTATCTCATCTGGGTAGGTAGGAACATGTATCCTCCCATCTTCAGGATTCTCTCAGCAAGTCCGTTGAACAAATGCGCGATTGCGCTGTGGTTCTCGGCCAGCCTTCTCGATATACCGTAGTTTTTGTTTAATGGGTCTAAAGGATACCATGTCCTATCTTCTTCTAACATCAAGTACCCCAATGGTTTACCAGCTTGAGAGCCGTCTTTCTCGATTAGGGGCAACCACAACGTTATTTCTCGTGGGAAGGAGAGGGTCCTGACAGGTTGACAAAGCATGTATGTGTAGGTAAACCACATGCAGTTACCCTTTGGCCCTGGTATTTGATCTTCGATGCCCGAATCAACCACCTCACCCTATAAACACATCCCTGAAGCAGGTATCGTCCGATGGCACTGTTCTCCTTCGTAAATCCTTTTAACGTTTGGGCGTTGTTTGCAAAGACCCTTTGATAGTAATAGTCACAAGTTCTTCGGATGGGTTCTTTCTCTTGCCGATACCTAATAAAGATATAGACGAAGCGGGCTCTCCTTCTTGCTATGTACCGCTTATCTCATATTGCCTAATACAAAGGCTGTTGGCTCTAATTTGCAGTTTGCTTTCAGTGTAATCATAACAAGGCTCACGAGATGGTATATTTAATACTACCAGATGATGTTGATTAGGCAGGCGCACTGCAGTAAGCGTAAACAGAAATAGCGAACTTAGGTAGATCAGACTTGGAAATATTCCCCTGCTGGGTTTCTCAGGAACAACCTTTTTAGCGTTTACCAACTTGACAATGAATCACACATTTCGATACAAGGAATTCTGTATACCATGCAGCCAAGATCAAAGAACAACTCGGTTCACAGTTTCGTCGGCAGTACCACGAACGTCGAACGGACAACCTCTGCTGCTGACGACGGCGGTATCCAGATGTGGGACACTACCCGTGGAGTTTTCAGACAAGTCGCTTTGCTAGAGGCCAAACGAACTTTGGAATTTGCCGACGGAGAACCAAGGGTGTCAGACGAAGTTCTGGCCCATATGGTCGGCCAAGCATTGGCCTTACATCGATCCAACAATCCTTTATATGTCGCCGCCAGTCCAGAGAGGTAAGTTCAAAATCCACAGCCCACAATACTCAATCCTACAACCAGACTCGCCTTCTGTAGTCGATCTTTTATACTTATACTGGATGTTCTTATTAGGACAATAACAATCCTGGCGAATGCATATTTTATCAAATTTTACACGTTCGAGTTTCCTCAAGGATATGATGCAAATTACGAAGGCCAAAGCATGACAACTCCTGGATGTCATCTGCACGTTTATTCGTCAACGTGGCTAAATATCCAACGGGCAGATCATAGAAGAAGATTTGTCGCACATTTGTCGGCAATTATCGCTTGGGCCAATAGCCTTTAAATACTGATGGAGAAATCCCTTGTGGAATCGGCTGGTGGATTGGTGTTTTAGTTATGAATCGCCGAGGAAGCATGGCTGGAATGCTGTTTAGCGGCACATTAATGCGGACTCAGCTACCTTGATGAGAAGGTACAGTTAGACTTCTACCTACCTAGTACTATAAGTATCGTAGCAAGTAACAAGTCAAATACCTTGCAATTCATAGTTGAACTACTCAGATGTGCTGTACATGAGTTCACGTATGCACTTCCCCTGTATTTACTCGAAACTTGAAGAGGCCAAAACAAGGGACTACGAGTGCCATACGAAGTTTCTATGTCATGTCTGATGTGAATATAGAAACTAACGGTATCTTTGGTGTAGCCACTGACCAAGGCAGCCGAGTAACAGGCCAACCAAAAGGCGGATACTCTCTGCAAGAAGTACACGAACAACATTTATTTTCTACCTCCTATTTTCTATCAAAATGACTGAAAGTGTAAGTAAGATAAGGCTAGAGAGATCCTCAAGCAGCGACACTGTGACTACTATAGCTTCGCTGAGTGAAGAACTCCATTGATTCTACGGCGGCTGTTGGACTGAGGAACATTTCGATATGGAGGATTCATTAGGAGATGTGTAGTTCTTGTGCCCCAAACTATCGCCTCGTTCCAGTTCAAATACACATCATCCAGCTATTACGGCCTTGAGAGCATCTAAGTATAAGTGGAATAGCTCGTCTTCATGTTACTTGAGTGTGACCCCCGTGAACTATTCAATACTCGTAAGAATCCTTGAAAGTCTGATCTTACAGCAGACAGCTGGGAGCTAAAAACTCAATGGATAAATTCACCCCCTTCTATTGCTTGTCCTTTTCCTTTTGTTTCCATCGGAAGGATTTCCATTGGAAGGATCTCTATTGGGAGGATTGTCATTGGAAGGATCTATATTTCTTGTAACTATCAGAGCGGAAAGCCGATCACGAAAGGTAAGAGCAGGCTCAAACGGGATCGTGAAAACCTCAATAGTGATGGGCGCCCATGGTGGTGGAGCGACAGTAGGAAATTCGAACATGTCCAACAAAGAAGACGGGAGCTCGGCCTTGAAGAGGTGCATACATTCTGCAGATTCAGACGAGGTCAAAACATACGACTAGATCATTCTCTTAGTCTATGCCATGTTAATTCTCTTCGCCATAGACGTACCGGATATGTCTTCAACATAGGTAGGAGTTCGGGTCTTTCCCATTCCACATGGCCCCACGTGTTTTGAGCGAGAGCAATCATCAGCGCCGCGATATATGGATCCTTCAATGGGTTTTCCGGGCGAATCTTTTTCAACTGAAGACGGCTTATTGCTTGCATAGGAAGGTTACTAGAGCTGTATTTCGGAAGATGTACTGATTTCTCTCGAAGACCTTCGACAAAATCACGATCGATATATGCAGCAACCGGATAACTGTTTAACCAATCGACAGGGTATGGATAGAACAAAGCATGGCAGCGAACAGACGTTGTAAGATCATGTGGAAAAGCAAAACTTTGCCTATCATGGATCAAGAATTAGTTGATGTTCGATAAATGGCACTTCACCTCAAGTATGAGTAAGGTAGCTCTCAAGAACAATTCTGAAGGGCGAGTACAAACCAAGGTGTGACTGCAAATGGGCCTTGCTCCTCTTCGAACAAACTACGAACGCAGTCTACGCGCTTGTAATAGTCATGGTACTTGTCGTAATAATCATTTATGAGAGTTAAACCAGCGCGTTTACCAGTATACTTTGAGATGCCTGGTGGCGGCGCAAGAGACGGTTCGCTGAAGGAGATCCGTAGAAGCTCAAGCTGACGGTTGGTCCAGCGTAGTGGATTGACAAGGATCCTTTCTCTGCAATAGCGACGGGCAATTCCGTAGAGAGACAAGGCATCTGGAGGAGATGAAGGCCATGGTGGTTGTGATGGTGCTGACGTATTGGTGCCCTCGACGCTTTGCTGCGAGTTGGATATATCCATATTGTGCGAGGTTCAAAATATTGATGTGTTGATTCGGGCGTTTCGTGCCAAAAGCCAACTGTGGACGTTGCATGGCGGAAGAGAACCGAAATGAATTAAAGTTGTAGTGGGGGGTTTAACGGTTTAGGTTAGTAATCAATGCGCTTCACTTAAAGTTGTAGGTGCGTGTAATCGCCAGCGGCTCTGCTTCGTGATGGCGTATGGTGAATTCCCGGTGAGCTTCTTCCTCGAGTGAATTATGTAATGAGAATGGATCGTAATTGAAGTTTCGCCAATCTAGGCCCTTGCCATGAGCGCATTCGTATTTTACCTGTCGACCCGTTTCTTCAGATGCAACCCGGTGTCAAGTGGTACTGATAAACAGGCGCAACTGTTTGACTCATTCCCTTGCATTGTCCCAGTCGTCGGTTGCGCAAACCCGTCGTCCTGCCAGCATAAATATACCTACCTTAATACCTACCTCGTAGTACTAACCTACTACCTACCTAGTAGTAGGTACTCAAGTATGCAACGAAAGGGATGTAGAACGCTTGGATTCGAGATACTTACACAAGCGTTGCAATTTGACCTCGCGTATCCTCCTTCCATACCTTAGCTGCCGGCTTGGCGCTGTTACAATATGCACCCTCAAGTTCAATATACTCATGTGGTATGTAAATATTGCAATTATTCACGAGAGTCTTTTAATATACATGTCAGCTTTCAGGCGTTCAGGTAGATGCTGAATTGATCTTGGCATCTTTCTGCTAGGAATACGGAATATTATGGACTGAATGAAGACTTCGATAGAATCCCCTCTCTGAAGACGCTCTGGCTATTCTTATGGCACTACTTAAACGAGATAATACTATTTAATCTGAAAGCAAGCGTCTATAGGTGATAGAAAGAGGAAACAGGACACAATATTATACGGGCATATCGGTATCATGATCAAGCTCTCTGCTCTCTTCCAAGTTAGAAAAAATGTATTCGAGACCATCTGTCTTGATGGCATGCCACATCTTGTTTTCTTTTACACGTTCAGTGCATGTCTACCCTAGCCTCGTTTTTGTTTTGAACTCATCTTCTATTTACATGTCGAACATTGCCAGAATATCGCTATGAACAACATAAGCTCATTGCCTGCCAAGGCCACATCTTTGAGCCCCCCGATCAAGCCGCAAGTCAATCTCGGCAAATGGCTCCAAGACTTCAGATCGTGCGAGCCTTAACCACCCCAAGCTCCATCACATTGTGGAAAAAAGATTGACACAAATCTCACCCACCCACAACACGATCGCTCAGTAGCTCCTCGCCTCGCCTCGGAGCGAACGGCGAAACGGCAGAGCTACGTCTGATCCAACACACATCCCCGGCCAAAACCCCCATGGAAACCCAACAGCAGGGCAAACTAAGAATGGGCAGTTGATTCCATCATCCTGTTACAAAAGTGGCCTATGGATTGGGCGCCCCTTTGGCATGATGTGGCTTCATGTTCTCCATAGTAAGCATTACACCCGTTCTAAGCGGGCGGCTGCTCTTGTTAGCAAATTGAATGCTAGCACCGGCTAACCAGCCACCCAGTCCATTTTACTTGTTTAGTTGTGCCTCTTATCTTCATAATGGCCAAACTTTGTTGAAGCCAAGCAATTTCTTGTGAAGCGGGTGCTTCGGCACTGTGTGGTGAGGTGGTGGATCGAGGTTGGAGGATGCCCGAGAGTGAGAGAATTGTGCTCTCATATATAGAAGCTGAAAGAGCTCCTGTTCTTCTGCTCTTCTTTTACCTTTGTTTTCCTCAAGGTTAATAACAGTCAAATCTACACCAATTTTGAAACTCCAACTCCCGAAACATCTTCACAATGGCGCTTGGAGCCAATCTCGAGAATACAGCTCTACGAGCAGCCTCTTTGTTCTGCTATGTCATGACTTGGATTTCCGCCATTATTGTCACCGGTCTAGTGGGCAACTTTTTGGAACGATTTTCGAACCGAGGCGTTGATATCGTGTACATGGAAGTCATTGTTTGTCTCTCGTTTTCCCAGATTGTCATCCTTGTATCTAACATGTGTGCGCCAGGCTGTCATAACAATGGTTGTGTACCTCGTTGGAATGATTTTGCCATGCTTACCCAAATATGGCGGCCTCATGGCGCCCATGCATCTCATCTTCAGCTATCTTTGGCTCACGGCATTCATCTTTGCCGCTCAGGATTGGAGCCACCATAGATGCCGAAATTCGATCCCTCGACCTGGGCTCTGTAGCCGGAAGCATGCAATTGAAGCATTCAACTTCCTTGCCTTGTAAGTGAACAAAGCTCCTTTTTCTCTCTTTTCTCTCTTCTAACACAGCCAGCTTCTTCATCTTGTGCAACCTCATCATTGAGACATTCCTCTTCAGAGCCCACCGACGAACCAACGCCGGCACCACCGGTACTCACCATGTTACCAAAGAGCGACCAGCTTCTGGTGTTTCTGGCGTGTCTGGAGAAACTGGCACCACTGCACAACCGCCGGCCGCTGCCGCACCAGTCAACAACGGCACCACTGCTGTCTAAGCTAGACAGACTTGAATGGAATTGAGGCCTCTCTAGTTTTGATACCCACGTGTGTGAGAGGCACGAGTGTTTGTTTCCCTTTTTTTCCAGTCTGGAGATACCACGAAGACAGAGATTGGCTCTTCACGTTTCCAAGAAACAAGCAAAAAACCCAAGGCTTCGTCGAGAGCACCTGCACCGTAATTTCTCGTCAAGTTACATCAACTTGTTTAATCAGATCGACATAATAGTGTACCTTAAACAAACAATTAATAATACGTAGTGAGTAATTCAAAAATAAAAACAAAAAACCTAAAACTTGGCATCATCGTCATCGTGGGTGCATAAAAAGTGGCGGCAATGAGCTCATGTCATGTCAGAACTCTGACGTTTTGACATGTGCAACTTGACAGGACCAGCTGCAGCCCATCCGGAAGCTCAGCTCCAGCTCTCTCTCACTTCCCACACAGTAAAAAGAGGAACTGTGTGTAGCTCAAGGGTCTTAAGGTTGTAGCCCAAGCCCAGTCAGGCTACTCTATAGGCTCTTCAAGACGCTTCCTGATGCGCCCTCCGAAAGTGCCGGGCTTGCTCTGGACTGACAGCAATGGCGCACAGTTCGATCCAAGCGCCATTGACGTGATGTTTACAACCGCCTCACCTGAGATATCCAGAGTTTGGATTTTTCACTGTTGCGGGCGGTTTAGTGAAAGAAAAAGTTCCTTCGCCTATTGACTCCGATCACTAGGTAGTCGGCCGACAGAAATCACCCATGAAATGAGCGCGGTAAGATTGGAGGAAAGGTTGTCCAGACGGAGAGAATGGTTTGCGGCATCCCGCCTCTGAGTCTGCCTCTCAGTCTGCCTCAGTCCGAGTCCAAGTTCTCAGAATCTGTTACTTGATAGCGCTGGACTGCAAATTCATCTCTAGTGCACCGAGCTTGCCGTTGCCTCAGACCAGTCGAAGAATATTCAACTAACCCCGTCACCTGATGTGCTCGATCCATTTCCGGAGAAGCTATCACGAGGTTGAAGAGCTTGAGCTTCGTGGCTAACCGCTAAGGTTATTTAGGGCGCCATGCCACAACGGGTAGTTCGCTCATTAGTCACTCTTTGCCTCAACACCATCCATCGATCGAACGGCAAAGAAGCCACCGTTGTTCAGTAAAAGTATGGTGGCGTGTGTCCGCCATCAGCTATTGGTCACATCCGGATCATGGAGCTGTGCGCAAGATGCAGCTCCATCACCCTCGGCGGTCTGAGGCAAGACTTGCCAGCCAGCCTGGCGTCTCGATCGGGGTCCAAGCAGGGCATGGTGTTGCGTGAAGATGGCTCTACCCTGGCCCGGTCGGCAACAGATTGCCGATTGTGTGCTCTCATTCAAGAGGCACTCTTGAGCAGCCTCCAAAGCTCCGTCAGCCAGGATGATCCACAGGCGATGCTTTCGTTAGCTCCGGATGCTGTTGTTCTCGAGCCAAAATCAGACTCCCAGGGATCGACGTTTCCTGACCCTCCAACCGGGGGCTCGCATCTGACGGGGTTCAATGTCACTGCAACCGAGTCAACCACTGGACAGCTACTACAAGCCAAGATCCGGCTATACACACACGGGCAACGTATGTGGGCTTACTGCCAGATGTTGAGCATGGTTGACTTACAGCTATAGATAGACAAAGGCCCACATCGCCGCCATGATATTGTAGGCAGGCCACAACTGCGAGGGCCAGCGTGTGATGAAGCATTTTCGTTGCTCGAGAGATGGGTAGAGGCATGTAAAAGGGATCATGCGTGCTGCTGCGAAACACTATCAGGGAGCGTCATTGATGAGTCTCAGCTTCCACAACTACCTAGTAGGGTCATTCGGGTTTCTGGGAGCAGCGTCAAACTGCTACCATCAGGAGGCCGACGTGGAAGATATGCGTCCTTGAGCCATTGCTGGGGCTCTTCTGGGAGGCCGCCCTTGAAGACAACTCAGGCAAACCTCCAGAAGCATCTTCAAGACATTCCCTGGGTTTCGATTCCAAAGACGTTCCAAGACGCGATAACCGTTGCTCGCAGTATAGGTCTCGATTATGTCTGGATCGATTCGCTGTGCATTGTACAAGATGACCATCAAGACTGGTTGAAGGAATCAAAGCGCATGGGCTCTATATACGAGCAGGCTGAACTCACTATCGCTGCTTCTCACACCCCAGGCTGTTGGGAAGGATTCCTCTTCCCTCGCCATCCACCGCCTCCTTCCGTGGAGATTCCCAGGTTCTTCTCTCAGGATAGTGATGTCTCTGGTGCGTCCAGGATACAAGTTTTCGCAACCGTCCGGCGGGATACTGCCGCCAACACATTTCCAGAATTTGGTACACTCAACAGCCGCGCCTGGGCCACCCAGGAATGGCTCCTGTCTAGGCGCATAGTCTTCTTCACTAAGGGAACCGTCATCTGGTCGTGCAAGGCCATCACACAGCGCGAGACGGGTGAGAGATGTTATAGTATATCACGGAATACACGCTGGAAGAACATCATAGAGCAGTATAGCGATCGCCAGTTGACCTATGCGACGGACAAGCTGATTGCGCTCGAGGGCCTACGAATGGAGCTGGGAAAGAGGATTGCATGTGAATATGCTTTTGGTGTCTGGAAGGAGTCTCTTCCCAACCAATTGCTCTGGCAAGTGACCAAGAGGATAGACGGAGCAGTCATTTCAGATCCTCTCAAGTTGCCGACCTGGACATGGGCACATGTTCCGTGCGGCGTGCGGTTTTTGGCCATTGACAAAGCCAAAAATCTGTGCAGCTCAATTGCTTTGGAAGACGACAGCCCGAGGCGAATGAGTCTCCAGGCTCGAGCGAAACGCATTTCAGCTGTCACAACAATCTTGGGCTCTAACCAAGGGGATGCCGTTACCGAGGCCATCTACGCAGATATCAACACATCTCATGCCAAGCTGACCAGCTCCATGGCCAAATTCATACCAGCCAAAGATGGCTCTCCCGTTGGATGGGCTGTCTTTGATCTGGCTTCAGAGGATGTCACCTCTGGAGAAATCCTGGCTGTCGCCCTCATGGGTAGCATTAGCCGGCGAGACGAGGAAGCTGAACGACGCCTTGGGAAGACCGTCTCAAAGAAGCTTCGACACTATTGGGTCCTGATGATACGACGAAGGAGTGATGGCAGATATCATAGAATAGGAGTAGGAAAGACGTATGGACAAACGTGGTGGCATGATGCCGCTGTTGGGACGTTTGATTTGGTATAGATGATTCCAGCAAGGCAAAATGCGGTAGAGCCTTCAAATCCGGATTACGATGCTGATGCAGGCTACCTATTCATTACCTCCAAGGTTCAATGTTTACGTATGAAAGGATGATTTACTGCAGAATCAACCTGAAAAGTGGAAATACCTAGACTCACATGCTCTTGAACAAGCTGATGTAATCAACCTGCGTCATTGATGGAACTCTGCAACATCGTGGAGCTTCTGCCCACTGCAAATGCCCACTGCAAAAAGACCCCGCCATAAAGCTGCAGTCGCTGCAAGCTCAGGGGGTTGAAAAAGGTTGATGCCTTGCGGCCTCACGGGCAGCCGCGCCCGCTGATTGGCCAGCGTGCTAGTCTAGCGAGTCTAGCACTCAACAACAGGGCCAGCATAACGGACACCTATTCGCCAGAGCTCGTGCACAAGAGTCGAACATCGTCACCTCCCAACAAGGAGTTTTCAACCAGAGCGACGAGATACGCGGCGGAACAGGCTGCAGAGAAGCGAGGCCAGACCGAACGAAACACGCTGCGGCTTTGCTCGGAGTGCTCAAGGCGCGTGGAGCTCTCCGCATCGCCCCTCTGAAACAGCTGGGAAGCTCTCCTCTTGCGCAACAGGCCCTCTCAATGAGCCCTCGCAGTTGAATTTGGCGTGCCGGAATGGGCTCGAATGTTGGCAACGGCATTGGCGGAATGGATCTAAGCGGCGCAATGCAGGGCAATGGCTCTAACCAACCCCAGGCCACTGAATACACGCTCCAGGGCGTGATGCGTTTTCTGCAGACGGAGTGGCACCGACACGAACGCGACCGAAATGCCTGGGAGATTGAGAAGCAAGAGATGAAGGGGAGGATCGCCAACCTTGAGGGTCAGGCTAGGAGGGCAGACGCCACGCAAAAGGCGCTGAAGAAATACGTGTCCATCCTGGAGCGCAAGATCAAGGACCAGGCTGCGCAGCTCAAGGGCACCGCGGTTGCAGAGGACGCCGACTTGGCAAAGAAGGAGAAGGATCGCGCCGCCAAGATCCAAGAGAAGCTGCAATGTGCGACATACCTTTTGTTTTCCCTGGATTTGATTGTTACTGACCTGCAGATCCAGCCTCATCGGAGAGCCAACCCGTTCCAGGCGTCGAAGGCGTCGAAGTCGAACGAACCGACGACGAAACGCAACGAACAGAGCTCAAGACATTCCTGGATCAGTGCCAGTCCGAATTTATGTATCTTATGATCACCCCGGCGAACCCTCTACCACCGCGCGAGTCCCCTCCGCTGCCGATTTTGGAAGATTTACGAGAGGCTGAGGCGTTTGGCATGCCCGGCGCGCAGCTCATGGAGCGTCAATACCAGATTCCTATGCGACAGGGCCCAAACCACATGCAAGACATGAACTCAAGACAGCACCAGGGCCCAAACTCTCTACCACCGATGCAGCAGCCCCCATCCAAGTTTGCCCCAAACGCTCCTGATATGCAGCCCCAAATGGTGCGCGCTGTGAACGAGCATCAGCAGCAGTCTCTTTTTCACAACTCTAACGACTGGCAGCAGCAACAGCAACAGCAACAGCCCATATCGGTGACAACGCGCCCCGTGGAAGATGGCATGCCGCGCTCCAACCACTCTAATGAAACGCTGGGCGGGATAGAGGAGTCTGTGGAGCTGAGAGAGAAGCCGCCTGCTGCTCCAGACCCTGAAGGCTGGGAGTTTCCTGACGGCTCATTCCCTGAGCCCGCAACTGGCCACCCACCGTCACAAACATCCTCTTACCGATCCGATACCGACGCTTTCCCAAACGCAGACTACTTGTCAAAGTCCCCGAGCCGGGGTCCAGGTACCCATCGAAGAAAGAGCTCCATGTCCAAGAGGCGTGGCAGTGATCACGACATAGGCGCAAGCCAAAAGGCTGAGAGCGCAAGCTTCAAGTTACGATTTGGGCTAAGGGGCCACCTCAATACCGTTCGAACTGTCATCTTCTCCGGTGGCGGCAGCCCTGGCGAGCCTGAGATTTGCACTGCTGGCGATGACGGCATGATTAAACGATTTCACATCCCGCGGCTGGACGGTAACGCTGCGGCTTCAAACAATGCGGCTTCGGATCTCGATGTAACCGCAAACTTTACCCACCGCGGCCATAATGGAGCTGTTTTGTCGCTCGCGGCATGGTCTCCTGCGCCCAACTTTTCTACCGGAGGCCGCGCTCAGGGTGACGGCTGGATTTTCTCCGGAGGCCAAGACTCTACTATTCGAGTCTGGGAACGTGGTAGGGTCGATCCCAAGGCAACGCTGGAGGGACATACAGATGCTGTCTGGGCAATCTGCGTCCTACCTACAACACTGGGCTCGGTCTTTGGCAGCTCTAGCAACTACGGAGCTCCTGACCGCATCCTGCTCGTCTCCGGCGCGGCTGATGGAACTGTACGACTCTGGTCGGTCAGCGCACCCCCTCAACTGAGCTCACCGCAGCCTGGATCAACTCGAGCCGCATCAGGACGCGGAGGACGCGTGCGCGGCAATTCAATGAGCTCTGGCAGCGGCTTCTCCAACTCTCCCCAACCCACCGTGGCTTCCAACTCCCCCTTCAACCACACTCTCGTACACGTCTTATCCAGGCAAGATGGATCCAAGGCGAGCCCAACTTGCATCACGCCGCTCGGAAGCTCGGGTGAAACGTTTGTCGTCTCGTATTCGGATGCCGCTGTCCTGGTGTACGATACAAAGACGGGCGAGCAGGTTGGCTACATGGACAGCCTGGAGACGTATGACGGCTCGATAAAGACGAGCGTCAATGCGGTGGTGGCCACTACAATCGGGTTAGACCAAGGTAACCAGCATCACGGAACCAATATCGGCGGAGAGGAGGACCCTGCCATGGGAGGACCAACAGGTGGAAGGTCTATGGCTGGCTCCGGCGTGGAAGGCACCATCATTTCTGGCCACGAGGATCGCTTTGTACGATTCTTTGATGCCAATAGCGGTATGTTGAACCTTGGTTTCTCTACATGACGGATGATGATAGAAAAGATACTAACATGTCTCACAGGTCAATGCACATACAACATGCTGGCTCATCCTGACGCCATTTCTAGCCTATCGCTCAGCCCAGACGGGCGCGAGCTGGTGAGCGCCGGCCACGACGCCTCGCTCCGGTTCTGGAGTCTGGAGAAGAGGTCATGTATCCAAGAAATCACAAGCCATCGGGTAATGCGGGGAGAGGGAATTTGCACGTGTGTATGGAGTCAGGACGGCAAGTGGGTGGTGAGCGGAGGAGGCGACGGCATTGTCAAGGTGTTTGCACGATAGTGGCGATGGCATAAACAATGGGTTTTCGTTTTGATCATTTTGTGTTTTTTTTTCTTCTCTTCTTCTTTTTCTCAGAACGAGTGACGATGGTGATGATGAATAGAATGATGGACCAAGGGAATGGTTGGTAAGATGTTCTGGGAGGAATCTGTGTTTTCTCAGGGTGAGAGTGTATAAATGTGTAGCGTGTACATGTGTTGAGGCTCGTCGATACCCGGCAACATGATGACTGTGCGCCACCGGCCATTACTTTCTGCTGATTTCTGCTTGATGAACACTGCCTTGCTTACTGCGTCGTATACTGTTAATGCGTCCATCGTGAGATTGGTGGTGTGGTGATGTCGCGGGCTATGTCCAAGATGAAAAGTTCCACAGGATGCAATTGGAGGCAATGCATGAAGTATATAGAATAAAATAAGCGCGTCGACTTTCAAGCAAGATCCGCTACAACGGGCGCGCAACGCCTGAAATCTTCCGTAGTATAGTGGTCAGTATGCAAGCTTGTCACGCTTGAGACCCGGGTTCAATTCCCGGCGGGAGAGATCCGCCAAACCTCCAAGAGGTTGATTTTTTTGTCTCTTTTTTTTTTTCCCTTCTCATCTATATAAAAAGCTGACTACTACCCACTTACCCTCGGGCTTTACTTTTCCGTCGCTGCAGCTGCTCTTTTCATATTTACCTTTCTCTTTTTTTCCTTTTCCTGTCCCAAAAGCTACCCCACGAAGGGGTTGCTGCTTCGTCTCGCTTACGACGTGCATACCGCCATACGCAACGAAATGCCGGGCCGATCGGCATCTTCAACCCGAGAGCTGGCGTGGGCGCTGCGGCGCAGGTGGATGCTCCCGGGAAATACGGCATGCAAGTTGCAGGCATCCAGTGAGCCGATTCCGACCATCTTCTGCTGCGAGATACGCGTTCAGGCTGTGGAGAGAGGAGCGCAGATAGAGACCGGCGGCTGGTTCTAGAATTCCAGAATTCCTTTCACGATAGACAATTGGGGGGTCGCGTGTGGGTTTCATAATAGCCCAGCCCATTCGTTGACGCTTGTTCCATGTACCTGACACACAATCCGGCACGGATTTGCCATCGGGATGTGGTGCGACATGGGATGGGCAATGCGGAAACGGGTGAGGGATGCGTGATTGGGGCGCCAACGGATAGGATGGAATGCATCACTTCGTAGCTGGGCATTACGAATACTCGCGCTTTTCGCAGCCAGTCATGACCTGAGCCAAGAATACCAAGAAGAGGGAAAATCCCTGCCGTGCAGTTTAGTTTGATGATTTTGGTTGTGTCGTGTGCCCGTTTACTCTTGTGGTGCTCCGTACTAGAGGGCAAAAGGGAAATGATGTTCCCTCTCCTTAAACAGTCGAACCTTGTATCAGGGGGGGTGAGGAGGGTTTGTATTAATGAAAGGAGATTTGCGCCTATTAGCTCACGCGCAAAATAGAAACCCTGGGTCGGAGGTTTACATACAATTGGCCTGTAACACTGAGCACATATGAGTCTAGTAGTACTGGATACTCGGTGGTTTGCGGCGCTGCGCTTTGCTGGAGCAAGTAGCTGGATATTTGCCTGCTCCGTTTGAGGACGTGTTTGCCGGGATTGATTGGACAGGAAACGTCTAGCGGCGAGGCGCCTGGTGGCTTGCAGCAATGACGCAGGGTGGTGGGATGAGGGAAAGCGCACACGAGTGGTTGCCAGGAGGGGTTTAGCGCGGCGTGGTTTGGGGAGGATTGTGGGAATTGAATTGATTTGTCTGGGGGAAGGAGCTGAGAAAACTGGGAACTGAGAAACTCAGGAAAGTGCGTGCTGATTACAGAGATAAAGTAAAACACTGTACAAGAGGAGAGACAAGAGAGAAGACATCTACAGCTGTGATACTGTGCAATACTGTGTGTAATTCCTACATATTCGTCTCTTAGTAAGATCATATGGAATCTCTTCTCGCAATTCCACATATCCAGCAATGCCACGCACACTTCTTCTCTCTCTCTTTCTCCGGACTTTTACTTGTCTTGCCTTGTCCTTGGCCTATTTCTCCATCGCTCCACCGGCATGACCCTCGCCCGTCCGTTTCAACCAGCCGGCCTGCATTAGCGTGCTGATACCACTCCATCAACTCCTCCAAGCACGGATGCAAAGGCAACGAGGGACGGAAACCAAAAAGCAAAGAGGCTAGTTTGATCCGAATCATCGGTTGGGCGTGGCGATTACGCAGCCGCTGTCCGGGGTGTGTCTTGTTTGCGTCTCGCGGGAAGGACGAAAGAAAGAAGGGGGAGGGGGGGACAAAGGCGAAACTTGGGCCGCTTGGCCGCCGTCATTGTGCTGTCAGCCGCGTACACGTAACGCTGTTGGCGGTTGAAGGTTATTAGACAAGGAGTAAGGCGAGAGATATTAAGAGGCCGAAGCAGAGGGGAGACTTGTCTGCTGATCCGCTCTTACAACGTATATGCTGCAGGTTCTGGTTTCTTTGCGAGGGCATTTTGGGTATTCATCACTGCTGCCATCATCGTCACTTCTGTCTACTGTTACTACATATTCTTTCTGCATGTTGTTTCTTTTCTTTTCACGACTGTTATTATAGAAAGACCAGGACAAAGAGCTTGGGTACACCAATTCTGCCTGTCAAAGCTCTTGGCAGGGCTGCTGCAGTTGTCACTCCTGCGCTCCCACAGCTGCACACGCCCACACTAAAAGCACTCGCCAAGTACATACACACCCACCGCATCCTTGCCGTTTCTTCACACCTTGGCCTTGTCTTCATCTCTCCCTCTCCCCTTTCTCGCTTCCTCTTTTTCCTTTTTCATTACAAGTATTTCTCCTTGTGTTGTGTAACTGAAGCGGTTCTTGGACTTGATTTGTTCTCTTGGTTTCCGCTTTATCGATTGTTCTACTCCCTTTTGTCTTGGATTCCTATACTCGCGTGGAGCCGTTCTCCTTCAGAGGAGCCTGGACGATCTACCCACTTGATACACCTCTTTTTTTGGACACAGGGCCCCCTTGGATCTACTCGACGGGACCAGTAGCTCCATATATCTCCCTTGGAAGATTCCAATCTGCAACTCAGCAATCCGAGATCCGAAGTACGAACCCAACCTCGATTTCTCGCCTCTGCACATCATCCTCGCCGCCATGATACCCTCATCCTGGACCTCGATCCTCTTGGCCGCCTGTGCTTTCTCCACCGCATTCGCCTCACCAACCTCGCGCTTCCAACGGACAAAACGGTTAACGCCCAAGTACTTCACCGAGCCCGGCGGTAGTCTTGCGCTAAGCCACTATGACCAGCGTTACTTCAAGGGCGAGATCTCTTACGAAGAGCACCGCGATGTGCTGCGGCAGTTGATCCGCAGCTACCTGACGACACTCCACGAGCACGGCGTCGAGACTTGGCTGGCGCACGGAACGCTGCTGGGCTGGTGGTGGAACGGGCAGATCATGCCGTGGGACTACGACCTGGACGTGCAGGTGTCTAACAACACCATGACGTGGCTGGGCGAGAACATGAACCGCACCGAGCATACGCACTCCTTCAACGACGTCTCTAAGACGTACCTGCTCGACGTCAACCCGCACCACGTCGACCTGACCCGCGGCGACGGCATGAACATCATCGATGCCCGCTGGATCGACACCAGCAACGGCATGTTCATAGACATCACCGCCGTGCGCGAGCGCGATGCCGACATGCCCGGCACCTGGAGCTGCAAGAACAAGCACCGCTACGGCAGCCAGGACCTGTGGCCCATGCGCGTCACCGAGTTTGAGGGCGTCAAGGCCCGCATCCCCTACAACTTTGAAGACATTTTGCGCGGCGAGTACGGCGACAAGAGCTTGGTTGTGGAAGAATTTCAGGGGTGAGTTGATTTGAACAAGAAAGCAAAGAAAGACGTTGAGCGGCTGTCGTTGCGACAAGTCGAGGCTGTGAGGCTTGGCAAAGTCAGCCCCGCGGGACCCCCATCCCCTTGCAGCTTCGGCAGCCCACCTCCTTTTCTTTCTTTTTCCCCATTCTGCCATGATTCGATTTCCCCTTGCTAACATCGATTTTTTTTTAGTCATCGCTGGAACCGCGACATTAATGAATGGGTCAAGATGACCGACGACGAAATGAAGCAGCGCAGGGAAGCCGCCGAGCAGCGCAAGAGAGAAGAGCTCGAGAAGAAGGGCCAAAATTAATCCTAGCCGTTGAATATTTTTCGATATTCTTTGTTTACAATTTTTCCTTTTACGGGTATTTTTTAAGAGGGGGCGAAGGGTAAAGGGCGAAAAGCAACGAAGCATTTCAGGCGTTTTTGGGTGCGAAGGTTGCTTTTAAGGGTGTGTTTCTTTTTTCGTTAATATATATCCCTTGCTGTGTAATTGGTTTATTGTACATAGTTGGATACCAGGCTTGGTTAATGAGGCATGTCTATTACATTCCGTGTGAGGACGGTGGTTTTTACCATGCATCTACCTGTTGTGATTTTTGGATAGGCTCATTGGCTCGGATGTTTGAACTTCATATATAGGTATATATATAAACATATATAATCATGTCCATCAGATACAATACGTCTGCCCAATGCCATTATTCACCCTCCTCATCAGCCAGCGCCGCCGTGATCCATCTCTTCCACGCCCGCACGTCTCTCTCACCACGCTCATCCTCATTCCATCCTCGAATCCTCGCCCCCGATCCCAAATCCACCAACGGCACCAAACTCGGCCTTCCATGCGCACACTGAAACGGGAACGCACATTTCGCAAGCCGTCGCACGAGTTGCTCGCACTCCTCAGCCGAAAGGGCATCGTTAAACATGATGGCACCTGCAACAACACACTGTCAGCTTTAGAACCAAAGCAACATCATACAAAGGGGTCAACCATACTTCGACAAGCCCTCGAATGCAGCAACTCGAGGATCCCTCTGGGACAGCCGTGGAAATCTGCCGTAGAAGGTTGGGCTCGAGCCTGTTCATCTGCTTTTCCAGCACTACGCGGCCGCGGGGGTATGATGCCCTCATCGTCGAGTTTCCATATCTCCTTGCGCATCAGTTCCACTAAAAGGCGTGGCTCGGTACGACAGCGCTCCAGGATACTCGGAGGCAGAGCCGAGACTGCCACCGTACATCCATCCCGCTCTTGTTTCGTCGAAGCTGCTCGTCGTTGGGTCTTATACAGAATGCCCCATGCTTCAAGATGCTCCTGATACCGCAACAATAAATCATGCTCGCGATCCGAGATTTCAAATATTAGGGGTCGCTCGAGAGGTTCAACGACCGCCTTTAGGATTCCATTAGAACCATCTAGCTTGAAATAGCCCGCCATGAGTTCCTCCAGACGACATCTCTCGTCTGCAGCGTGCTGGTCAAGCATCACCAGGGCACACGAGCTGTTCGGCTCTCTCCCGTCTGTCATGTTACTCAGGGGAAGCTTCAATAATATGAACTTCTTATCGACCTGTGCAACAACCTGTGCTGCCGCCAAGGCCGATCGCGACACACGACCCTCGAGGCCGATGGATGCTGCCTCGAACCTGACTCCTCCTTTATCCTCATTGCAGCACCGATGCGAGCCATGCTTTGATACTGCATCGCGCACTGGTTCTGGCGCTTCGTCGTTGATGCGCGGTATGCCGAGCTGAGCTGATTCAAAGACCGGATTTTTCCATGATTTGAGGATGTTTTGCAGCCAGTCGCTTGGTTCTTTCCTCTCGCTCGCCTCTTTCCTCTCTTTCAATGCCCCATCTCTGAATTCCGGCTCGCTCAGTTTTAGACGCTTTGCCTTTTCACTTGGCAAATCCTCTGCCACCCTCTTAGGACGCTCAGCAAGCGCCAAGGGACCTGTTTTGGGTGTACCTTGAGGTTCAGCTTCCACCCGCTTTCCACCTTTTGCCCCTGGACTGAGAGGGCCTGAAACGTCAAAGGGTTTGCGAAGCAGTTTGCCTCCCTCACCAATCAGCCGATCCGTTACAATAGTTTTCGAGCTAGTTGGCCCTGTTTCATGCCTCTGCAGTACCTCTTTTATTGGCCTACTTTCTGTCCGTCGTGGGCCAACCTTCATCCTATTCCATCCGTCAAAAGGACTGTCTGAAAGAGACGACACCGGTTCAGGCGGTAGAGCTTGCGATGACGAAGCCTTTGAAGCTGCCTTTGAGGGTTGATGCCCCTTGGTAGCCCGTGTTGTGCTACGGTGTGGAGCGGTCGAGAATACAGACTTGTCTGAAGATGACTGAATCTTTTGGGGGCGCATGTGGTGCTTCTTCAAGAAGCTATAAATGACTGCCCTCAGTAAGTCCACAATTCTTTCAAGATCCCCATGTGAATGGCTAGAAATGTCATCAACGTCAAAAACATCTTCGGCCCCTTTGAGTGTGATTCGAAGATAGAACATGGGCCATCGGTCCGCCCCTTTGCCTTTCTTTTGATTTGGGCCAGCCCCATCATTGGACATGCCATCTTGGTGCTCGACGATCCCAAAATTCGAAGATGCAAACATTTTGTTTACCTCTTCATACAGAACATTGCTTCCGTACTCGTTTGAGACTGGTAGGATACCTACACTCATAAACTGGGACCGGCGCGTCGCAACGGGATTCAAAGAAATGCAGCCCTTGATTGTGACGTGGCCAGCAGTTGCTGATATCGGTATCCACGAGTCCACGTCGCCGGAATCTGCTAATGATGCTTGAGTGAAGAACCGTACCGCTCTAGAAATCATGTTTGCATTCTCCGGTGGCTTTAGACGCAGCTCGCGCTGCCCTTTGGACTCACGCAAGGATACGGTGACCTCAGAGGGCCAAGATACGAGCAAGCCAACCACATCATGAATTAGACGCCCCCATTCCTTCTCAAGCCCAGGCCGGTCCGAGAAGAGGGTAGCCCGGTGTTTGACACGTACGGGAAGAGAGCCAAATAGGTCGTTGACAGCAACTCGCGTGCCGTGGTCAAAGATCTGGAATCGATCTCCAGGCAGAGAAGGCGTCTGCCTCTTCAAGAGCTTGCCATGATGGATCGAGATGGTGTTGTGCGAATTGTGGCGATAATGATGGGATGTAACAGTAAGTAAAGACAAAGTACTCAGGGAAGATAAAAATGTTCCCTGTCTACCGTAGAGTCCATGCTGGGGTGGAAATTTAGATGTAACTTGACACAAGTAGTTAGTATCACGGTCAGGACATGACAGAAACAGCTCCATACAGTAGGGTTTTCCGAGCCCTCCATCCTCTGCAAAGTCACCAGGAACAATTCCAAGCCCATTGTCCTCTACAGTACAGTTTCCTCGACCGTATTCAACGTAGATATAGATCTTGGTGGCGCCAGCATCAAGGGAGTTCTTGAGCAGGCCGCAGACGACGCCATTGAGGGATGTGATGGTCGACGAGGACCTGATTTTCCCAACGACATCCTCCGGGAGCGGCCTGATGGACATGGCACATGGTGCTTGATTGAGCGTAGTCGAGATCGAACCCGAAGATGAGCTGAAGCTGATCTGCCGAGTGTCGTGACACGAGCCAGGGTCATGTAAGATTAGCTGCTACCATTCCGGGCATGGATGGTCAGGCAAGGCCCAGAGCGTCAGGCCGAGTTCAGGGACAACGGAATACTCGGAGGGACGGAGATTGCCTGTAAGTACACTCCAGCAACTCTATGTACAGTACTGGAGAATTACTGTAATAGCTCTTGAGCGAACAGGAGACGGCGATGGTTGGTTGGTGTTGGTGAATCGGTACTAGAGGTACATAAGGTACGGCAGAAATGGAGCTTAGCGCCAGGCCCAGTTTGGCAGCGGCATTTCGTCATCGTCAGCTGCTCGGGGCGCCTTCATGTGATGCCGCATCACGTGACGGACCCCTGCCTTTGATGCCGAAATGATGCTCAACCTCGACTCCGGCGCTATTGTTTCTAGCGTTGCACCATCATGCCCATTCTGGGTATCAACCTCTGTCTCTTCGCGATCCGTCTGTGACTCTTGTCCCTCGCATAACGTCTTGCTCGTCACATTCCTTTTCCCTGCTGCCGCGTCTCGAGAGCCCAATCGTCCGAATCGCCGCCCCCTGCGTGTCGTAGCCTTGCCGAATCCCCTCTCGCCCGTGCAATCTCCATCTGTGCCTGACGCCGTCCAACTACCGCGCCGACGACAAATCTGCCGCCCCTTGGAGCCGCTCCCGCGGCATTCCAACTTGCTCGTCCTTGATGGCGACTACCAACCTTATCGCAGAGGCTCACGGTACTGTCTCCTTGCTTTTCGCCACCCTCCCTGCGCCTGGACGTGCCCTGTGACAACATCAGGCGTTTCCAGCCCAAGCAGCCTTGAAGCCTCTCCACGGCATTCAGCACTAACACCTAGATAGATGGCCAAGCACAGCAGCGGCGAAGACCATTCTCAACATGGGTCAAGAAGCTCACCAACTTCAAGTCGTCATCGGACGGCGAGCGGCAGAAACGACACATAAGGATACGGCGTGGCCCCAAGCTCAACAATCCATATCCCCAGTCCGGGCACGTCAGTAACAACCATGCCAACGGCCAAAGCTCTTATTCGTTCGCTACCGGCCGCACCGACTGTAGTCTCTCTACGCTAGATCAACCAACTCGCTTTTCAGCGGATGGGTATGCACCACCGACTGTGGGCAGGAGGAGTTTAACTACGACCATATCCACCGAAACCGAGCCTGATCGCCCTCGATCCGTCATCGCGCCGAGTCGCGCTCTGAGTCGCGCGCCGAGCTCTGTGACAGGAACAAGCAGAACTGTTGGGGGAGGACAAGAGTCCAGAAGAGGTGGTGATAGTACATTTTCAAGCCCGTCTCCATCGGTCAGGTCCCTCGCTACAACATTAACCACTATTCAATCCTTTGCGCCCCATGGACAGGCCCCGGTGGCTCCCACTCACAGCATCACTCAGTCAATCCAGTTCAGCCAGCCATTCCCTACGGCTTCCCCGGCATCGGCCATTCCAGCGCATCTTATCCCGGCGAACCACCTGACGACATACACGACGGCCACGGCCAACAACCTCCTCACAGACAATGCATCCATTCTGACTCTGGCTTCATCGAGCAAACGAGGTCGTCGACGATCGATGGATACTGATGCGTCCGTTCGTGCTCTTGCTCCATCGTCTCTCTGGGGCGGCAGCCGCGAAAGCCTGCCCCTGAGCGTCCTCAGCGCCAACATCGACCCTACGTCCAGCCTCCACAACGCCTCCAGGCTCGGCGCAGAACGCAACAGCATCTATTCTGCAACCGGAGTGGCCCCAGCGATCCCGAGCGAGCGCAACAGTCTCTATGCTAAGCAGGGCGACGGTGCAAGCGTTAGGAGCGGCCGCTTGGGACACGGTCGACCCGATAGTATAAGCGGCAGCGTTGCACTCGCCAGCCCCCGAGAGGTACCTGATAAGAAGAGCCTTGCCGAAAACCGAGAGGACAGCCAGCTAACATCGACTTCCAAGGAGGACTAAACCTGCAACATTCATTTTAAACCGCCATCTTTTATTGTTTTTGTATTGGGCGTTCTGGGGGAGGACTGTGTCCGCATTTCTTAGACGGGCTTATACATACGAGACTGGGTCAAGAACGGGTTCTTGTGCTTTTTTTGTTGTTCTTTTTCCTTTCCGTTGTTTTTTGTCTTGTTGTCTCTCTGCGTTTCCTTTTTTTTTTTTTTTTTTTTTCCCCAACCGGAGGGGTAGAGACTTGAAAGATGTGGCAAACGTGATACCCTATTAACATACGACAAATTGCAAGTGGTTTTTTCTGTCTTACTTTTGGGTTTCTTTCATGCACAGAACTGAGCACAGTGGAGTGGAATTATGATGTTGGACCATGGTGATGGACCATGTTAGCACCCGTGTTGTTAGTATTAGGTACCTAGTATAAACCGAGGTTCGGTGTAGGTGTAGAATCTGAAATTGAATTCCAACTATACGAAACTACGAGTGCATTCTGGTGATTGTAGCCAAAGTATTAATTTACTAAGTTGATCCAATATTACCAAGAAGCCATTTGAGCCGAGGCTGAGGCTCATGATAGATCGTTGAGCTTTATCGCTAGGATACTCGAACCTTGCCGTCTTAGTGGATGAGCCACTGTGGCGCCCGCTAGCAGCATCACCAGAAGCTCTCCCGCAGCTCCAGCCTCTCAGTCCCGCCATCGTCATCGTGCGCTGGCAAGGCGACAAAGATGGCCATCTCGGTACGTGAGCTGTGAATTCGCTCCTCATGCATTTCTCCCCTTTGATTGCTGAGCTTCTTCTTCTTCTATTTACACGCATGAAAGCTAATTCAGCCCACAGTGGAAGTCGTTTGACTTCTTCGACGTCACGCAGGTGGCGCTGCCCGACGACGAAACCCGCCAGCTCTTCGAGAGCAACGACATCTCCAGCGTCTGCACAGGCTCCGACAGCCTGTTTCTCGGCTCCAACGATGGATACGTCAGCATCTTGGGCAAGGGATGGAAGGTCATCAGGCGGTTTCAGGCGCATGAGGCGCGCATCACACACATGCGTCAGGTGGAGGGGACGAGCCTGCTGGTGACGATTGCGGTGAGCCATCTTCATACGACGTTTTCGAGGGCTCGCGCTGACTGTTGCTTAGGAGGACATGAGCAGCGAGCCGACGCTCAAAGCTTGGGCTTTGGACAAGCTGATTAAGAGGACCAACATGCCGACCTGCCTAAGCACTTTGACGGTTAACAACGGGAGGCGGCAGTTTCCGGTGAGTCGTCCGCAACAGGGCTAGGAGATGTTGAGTGTTGACCTAGGGCATACAGATATCAGCTTTCGCTGCGCTCGACGACCTCACGCAAATTGCCGTAGGTTTTGCCAACGGCGCGGTAACCGTCATCCGAGGAGATCTTGTCCATGACCTGGGGACCAAGCAGCGCATCGTATACGAGTCGGAGGAACCTGTGACTGGCGTCCAATTGACGACTCAAGAGAGCTCAACAACCCTCTTCATCTCTACAGTCTCGAGGATATTACAGCTGGCATTGTCTAGAAGAGGGCAGGGCTCACCACCAAAAACGATCGAGGACTCTGGTTGTGCGGCAGGCTGCATGACGGTCGATCCTAAGACGGGGGATATTGTTGTCGCCAGAGACGATGCCATATACACATATAGGTTGGATGGGCGTGGACCACCTCGAGCATATGAGTCCCCTAAACGGCTCGTATCTATGCACAACGACTACATTGCTGTCGCGGGTCCGTCATCTGTTAGCAGCAGCAGAGACCCCGAGGCTTTGCGGAGAAGATTCGGCTCGGCGACGGCAGATGGTCTATTTAACGCGTGGACCTTTGTTCTCCTGGAGCCGGATCTGCGAGTAGTTGCCCATACCGAGACGCTCATCTCCCCTGTCCGGTTCATCTTTGAAGTATGGGGGGATTTGTTCACAATCACCGAGGAAGGAAAAGTACGGCTACCAATTTTGGAATTCGTAGCTACATATGCTAACGGTATCCTCAGACTTACCGATACCACGAGAAGCCACTTCAGCAGCGTCTGGAGATGCTCTACCAGCGCAACATGTTCCCCCTCGCAATTGAGCTGGCTCAGAACTCAGGGATGAATAACGAGCAGCAGAGCCTCATCTATCGCCGGTTTGGAGACCATCTATATCAAAAGTCGGACTATGATGGAGCAATGAACCAGTACATTCGAGCCATTGACGCTACGGAGCCTTCTCAAGTCATCAGAAAGGTGAAGACCCTTTTTTCAAATCATACTTCAACCGCTGACCAAGAGTTCAGTTTCTGGATACACAAAGGATACACAACCTGATTTTATACTTGGAAAAACTGCATCACGCCGAAAAGGCTACATCCGACCATACCACTCTCTTGCTCAATTGCTATGCTAAACTTAAAGACATTAAGAAGTTGGAAGAGTTTATCATGGCTCCAGGAGACTTGAAGTTTGATTTGGATACAGCCATTACCATGTGTAGGCAAGGTGGCTACTACCAGCAAGCTGCGTATCTGGCCAAAAAGCATGGCGAGACCGAGCTTGTTGTGGACATCTTGATTGAAGATTCGAAGAGTTACGATGAAGCACTGGATTACATTTGGCATCAGGATCCTGCAATTGTTAGCGTCTCCCTTTCTCTTTTGGCCAGCCCAATACTGACTGCTCTAGGCATATCCGTGCATGCAAAAGTACGCCAGGGTTCTGATAGAGCATTGCCCCAAGGACGCGACAAAGCTGTTTGTAGATTACTATACTAGCAATTATCGACCACGGCGCACGGTGGTACTGCCTATTGAGGTCTCTGGGACAGCTTCAGCCCCAGGCGGCTCAGGCTCAGGGTTAGCTGCCGGGGCTGCCAGTGCCGTACAGAACTTGACCAATCTCCTCATCCTACCTTCATACATCAGTCCCACAACCGGAACGCCAGGAAGCACAAGGCCAAACGAGACCGTCGTCCAGGTCGACGAAGACGATTTACCGAGACCCAAATACGATCCCCCGCCGCCCCGAACAGCATTCTCATCCTTCATCGATCATCCTGACGAGTTCATCACATTCCTAGAGGCATGTCTGGAGGAAGAAAAGCTGAGGGATCTTCACAGCACCGATCTGTATACGACCTTGTTTGAAATGTACCTGCACAAGTCCAACGAGAAAAAGGGCAGTTTACACAAGGAAGAGTGGGAAGCAAAGGCAAAGAAACTCATCGAGGGCGATCATGTGCCCATGGAGAGCTCCAACGTGCTCCTATTGTCACATCTATCGAATTTCCAGGACGGCACAGTCTTAGTCAAGGAGCAAGCCGGGCTGCTGTCTGACATTTTTAGATCTTATACATCGGCAAAGGACACACGCGGGGCGTTGAAGGCGCTGAGAAAATACGGGCCAGAAGAGCCGCAGCTGTATCCGGCCGCCCTGGCATACCTCACATCAGATCCCCGGGTGCTAGAGGAAGCCGGGCCGGATGAGTTGGCGGCCATCTTGACCAAGATTGACAAGGACGGGCTCATGGCTCCGCTGCAGGTCGTTCAGACCCTTGTTGGACAAAACTCTGGCGGCGGCGTGGCTACCATGGGAATGATTAAGCCATATCTTCGTGATACAATCACCCGCGAGCGCAAGGAGATTGCCCAGAACCGTAATCGAATATCCACGCTCCGCGCCGACACAGAGAAGAGACGCAGCGACCTGGAAGATCTTAGTTCCAAGCCTGCCGTGTTCCAGGCCACGCGATGCTCTGATTGTGGCCAGGGGCTGGACCTCCCAGCTGTACACTTCATGTGCAAGCACAGTTTCCATCAACGATGTCTACGTGGCGGCGGCGAGGATGACGAGATTGAGTGTCCCAAGTGTGCTGGCGAGAATGAGGTGATTCGCAAGATGAGGGAGGGACAGAGGGAGCGGGCAGGGCGGCACGAAATATTCAAAGCAGATCTGGAGAACAGCTCTGATCGATTTGCGACCATTTCCGAGTGGTTCTCGCGAGGCGTGATGGATGCGCAGGGCTCAACCCAGGCTTCTTGATTTTCTCTTATACAGGCGGGCGCAGGCGATGAGGCGGTGTATTTACCATGTTTCTCTCTTGTTTTGATTGATTTTCATTTTTTGGGATACATATCTAGACACTTTGATAGTAATTGTGACATGAAGCCAAGAAATAGATATTTTGTGGCCCATTTGAGTTGTCCTCTTGTTAGTCCGGAGCTTTTCGGTTGAAGTGCCGAAAATGCCCCGCGTCTCATGTCACCTCAGATGATGTTGTAATAAGTCACTTGATGGCACATGCATTCAATCCGTTTAATAGACACTCACCACTTGTAAACTCATCTCTCTCACATCATGGCCCATTCAGATCAAGACTCATCAACGATGCGTCCAAATCCAAAGCATCTGATCGACTTCTTCGCTCGCTCGCTCACGTCCTTCCACTCGTCGCCCGATGTCTTTCGCATCCTCTGCACTCTGCCACATGCCGGCGCGGAACCAGTCTCGCGGCGGCCAGCATCAGGAGTGTGCAGGTTAGTGGTTCTCGATTCGAGTTTCAATCCACCGACGAGGGCGCATGCCGAGATGGCGAGGTCTGCGCTGAAGTGGGCTTCTTCTTCGTTCTCGGAGGGGACGAGGCTGATGCTGTTGCTGAGCGTGAACAACGCGGACAAGGCGCCCAAGCCGGCGAGTTTCCCGGTGCGGCTGGGCATGATGGAGGGTTTTGGACGGGATCTGCTGGGGAGTCTTGAGGGTGTTGTTGGTGGGCCGGAGATTGATCTTGCGGTTACGAAGATGCCGTATTTCCACGACAAGGCGAGGGCGATTGGCGAGAGCGGGATGTATTCTTCGGGAGGACAGGAGGAGCCGGAACAAGTGTTTCTAGCGGGGTTTGATACTGTGATTCGGATATTCAACCCGAAGTACTATGGGGAAGGGGGCATGAGGGCTGCGCTGAGGCCGTTTTTTAAGAGGGCGAGGTTGAGGGTTACTATGAGGACGGATGATGAGTGGGGAGGGGAGGAGGAGCAGAGGGAGTATGTGAGGGGGTTGGGGGAGGGGAAGCTGGATGAGGTTGGAGGAGATGTTGCGTGGGCTAGGAGGGTTGATTTGGTGGAGGGGGGAGGGGATGGGGTGAGTAGTTCGAAGGTGAGAGATATGGTGAAGATTGGGGAGAGGGAGGGGCTGGAGAAGTTGGTTGATGGGGAGGTGATGGGTTGGATTGAGGGAGAGGGGTTGTATAGGGAATAGACGGGGATGGGGATATAGGGATGAGGATTGGGATAGGAGCCGTGGTGATGGTGTTTGGAGGTTTTGATTTTGATATTGACTACCCGGGAGTGAAGCAGGAGAATATTTACATAGATGTGATGCGCCGTTTGAACGGTGAATGATTTATCATGATTGATTTCGAATATTTAGGCTTTTTTGCTGGATTCGAATACAACATTGATGCATGTTGACTACGAAAATGAGATAGAATTGTTGGTAGACACAGATATCAATAGAAAGCTTACGCCCAACGTGAAGGCATTTTCAAAAGGTTTGACGTGGAACAGCACAAACGACACACGGCTCGGAGCAGGCTACGGTATTCAAAAGCACACGGAGGCTACATCCAAATACAACACTGATCATTTTACGTTCATGTCAACAGATGTAAGCATCTCTACGCAGAAACGGTATCAACCACAAGGCCAAAACTGACGCTGTATCCAGCTTTCTAAGCTACAAACGGCATCCTGTACCGTGCCTCTCGGAGCTGATAACCACATGCAAAAACAAGCCTCCAAAGAGCCACAAAATAACGGAGTGTCTCAATTACTCTTACGGAATGCTTTCACTCTCTATCCATGCAAAAACAAAAATTTTCTTCACTGCTGCCTTGCATCTCGGCCATCTTCCTCATTTTCTTGGTGCAGAGCCTTCACGACCTGAGTCAGCCACCATCAAAACCCCTGTCAGTTCAGGCACCCGACCAACCAACAGCTCTGATACGGGAAATGAACCAAGAGCGGGTCCCCTTTTTCTGCCACCAAAAAAAAACTTTTAGGCGGTCAGCCCGCCCCACAGCAGCACCTATAAAACAACGCCTCGCCCGCCGTGCTTTGATTTTTTTTTTCTTTTCTTCTTTACGTCGACAATACTTCAGTATGTGCACCCCCTACTGCTGCAAATCTCGCAGCGCGCCTCCAAACAAGGAGGAAAACCAGTCATGCTAACAAATCGCCTACAGGAGAATCATTTCTATAGTATTCGTCTCTTGCTTTGGTTCCCAAAAGAGCCATCGAATCCACCCTGGTTGATGATTGTATATCCTCGATGCCCAAGAGTGAATTTTTTCTGGTCCTCTCGCCCTGTCCGCAAGGATGGCGGCAGTTGCCTTTGTGCTTCTGCTGTATAGAGAGTTGTTTTTTCTCTTGATGATCTCGACCCTGCTGGTAGTCTGCCTTCGGGCGCGCTGGTAGGGTGGGTGTCGATGGACGTCTGACAGGCCCTTTTCCTTCTTTTCATTGCTGCTTGGGGCTTGCCCTGATGGTGAAGAAGAGATTCCGCTCGTGTGGTTTGAACATGATTGAATTAGAGCGGTGTTGTCTCGTGGTGGATATTTTCACGGTAGACGTAGCATTTTCAATGTGGCGGCGTGAATCTGATGGCTTGAAGTTTTCCATTTGCCTTGCCGTATGACCATCCATCTGGCTCCCTTCGCTATGAAAAACCCAACATCTGATTTTTACGTTCATAGACTCTTGCCCTTGCATCATAGGTCGCGTTCGGTGGAGAAGGATTAATGGCTTGCATGAAGCCGTCGCGCCTGGGACTAAATGTGGAGAGCTGGTGGACTCTTGGCAGGATTGAAGCAGGCAAAGCTTGACTGCGAACCTCCAGAACATAGATTAATGATGGATCATGAGCTTCCTGGCTTGTGCCAAAGCCTACGTATGATCCTTTAATAGCAGTTACTTGATACACCAGCGCGGCCACGTAAAAATGATGGTTATAATCGGCATGTTCGCACGTTTGCACACAAGACGCACCTTCCGTCATGAGAATAAAAATGTTGACATTCACAGACACCTTTTATCTTAGTCATCAGTCGTAGCCATGATATTCCGTACAAACCCTTCTATTCTAGCCATCCAAACCTTTTTGCAACAAAACTCACGCATCCCAGTAACGCCGTCACACCCGTGACTACAATCAAAATCCCATATCCGCTCCCATATCCCCCGATAGCCTGGCCCTGCCATGGCATCCCTTTAACCAGAGCCTCGCTCAGCGGGCCCGACGCAATGTTCCCAACGCCTCTACCGATGGAAAGAAACGCAATAACCATAAGAGGATCATACCTGCTGGTGTTGACACTGCCATGGCGACCATCGGTGCTGATCGTCTCTGCATTTTCGACGGTGGCAATCTTGATGACATGTCTCATGATGCCTGGCCATGAAGTGGTGAAAGACCCAGCAAAGACGCCATAGACAAGGCTGAAGACGTACAGGATGCCAATGTTGGATCCAAGGCCCCATAGCAAGAAGACGCCGAAAACAGCACCCAAGGTGGATATCAAGATGCATGTCGTTACATGCAGCCTGTCGACCAGGGTGCCCATTGTGATAGGTCCCACCACTGATCCGACATTGAGCACCAGCAGTGTTGCCGCTGAGGCGAAAGTGCTGGCGCCAAGCACATCCTGCGCATATGTCGGCAGGAAGATGCCTGGGAGGAAGAAGCCCAAGCCCTCGACAAAGTTGCCCAGCTGGTATAGGGCAAAGACGCGGTTTTTCATGAAGCTCCAGTCGAGTGGCTTGATATGAGCCGTCATGGCCGGCGGCAGACGAGGCTTGACGAAATAGATTAGTGGCATTGTCAGGGCGAAGAGAGCCACCGACCATATCCGCAGCGTCGTTCGGAAACCATATCGGCTCAGCAGCGCCTCGAGCACCAGCGGGATGGTGAAACCCCCAAGCCCGGTCCCTGACCACTAACCATTTGGTGAGCTCAACTCTCGACAATTACTTGTATATGCTAATCTTGGAAAAGAAAGCGCCACAGAGACAAAAGCCCTATTGAGCAAACGCCTCCCCCACGGCAAAAATCCAAGGCAGACAATGAGACGGAGATGACTCACCATCAGACCGTACGCAAGTCCTTTGCGGCGGTCAAACCACTCATCGACATACATGAGGCATGGGTTGTAGGCGATGGAGCCGCCAATGCCGTACAGAGCGCCCTGCGTGAGGATGAGATGCGTCGTGTTTTGTGAAAAGGACGAAAGCGCGAGAGCAGCGCACATCATGAGCAGGCCGGCAGTCGGGTTCCAGCGTCCCTGCTTGGGATAGATGCGCGCGAGAGCAATGACCAAGGGAGCGTCGAGGTACATGATGCCCTGATTCAAATCAATGGGAAGCTTGTACGAATGGCCTTGTGCTACTCACCATGGCGCAAGTTCCTATAATGGCGGTCTTGGATGAGCCGGCAAAGGGCTCGTGGGTGCGGTAGTACTCCTGGAAGATGCCAAATGCGAAAGGAAAACCTATTCACCCATTGGATCAGCATACTATAACCACTCGATTTCGCGTGTAATTGCTATCCAACTCACCCCATACCATGGCCTCCATCACGAAGCAGGCCGCCAAAAAAAGCCATGCATCTCTGCCTGTGTCGACTGGTGGCAGGGAATAACCCTGGTTCTCGTCCTCTTGCTGTGCCTCAACATCGTCAGGGCGAACTTCTACCACCGCGGTGGAGTCATTTTTGCCCTTTTCGTTCTCACTATTGCCCAACGGGGAGTTGGCATTGTGATCGCCCAGGAACGTGATTGTGGGAGTCGGCGATGATGGCGTCGTCACTGTGGGCGACGTGAATGGCGTTTCGGCAGGTGTGGGTTCGGCCGCAGGCATTGAACACCCGGCTCCGGTGGATGATGCTGTGTGTTTCGATTATCTCGCGATTCGAATAAAGAAATGTGCGTTTAACAAATTTGGGCCGAAAATTCCAATGAATCAGTCTCGATAACAAGGATCCCGCGTGGCTCGAAGAGTCTAGATGCTGCCAACAGAGATATCTCAAACTCGTGTTGCTCCAAGGCGGCTTTTGTACCAGCTAACGTTTGTCCAGATTTAAAGCAAAAGCATTCTCCCTTTTCCTCCTCTCCATTCCTATGGCGCCTTCTCGCTGATTTATATATCCAGCCCCCTCCTTCTCCATCCATTTCTCCGCGCTACTCACGATACGTTCATCCCAGAGTGGCTCTAAGAGGTTCCCGACTCTTCTCCCGGCGGTCATACCCAAAGATGGAACCACGGAAGAGAAGGAAAAGAAAAAAAGTTTAATTTTCTTTCACTCTAGCTTGCCTGTCAGATATCACACCCCCTGGTTTCGGCAGTTTGATACTGCCCGCGGCTCTCACTAAGAGAAGTGTACATATCAAGTTGCCAGGGATTCTCTTACGAATAGGTTGCTCGTTTCACAGCACCAGTGTGCTGGTATGGAGCGTCCGAACCATGTGTCGACCCCGTCGTGCCATTAACACCGGACCGGGGATGCATCGAGCTTGACGTGTGCTTTCCAAGCCAGGGGAAAAGCCGGGAGGGCAAACGCAGCCCCCCACCGGTATGTGTGCGAGTACTTACGCTATGGAGCTTTTCTGCCCAGCGAACGATGAATGGCGGCGGACCCCCTTTGCCCCACGAGCGAACCAAGCAGCCCAGAGATGGAAGGAAGGGGAAAAGAAGGAAAAAAAAGCATCGAGTCAGCTGAGCTACCATTCTCACCTCTGGACCACACCTTGGTCGGATTTTCTCCGTTTCGTCAATCTAGACAGTGGTGTATCGCATCGCGATGCCGGACGCACGAAATATGGGGCTGTGAACTTGCGGTAAAACATTTTTCTGTTCTTCTCTTCTTTATTCTTTCTCTTTGCTATTTATCAGCTATTGACCACCTGTGTCTACCTATTTGACGAGGGAAAGTAGCAGCGCTAGATCTCAGTAGCTGGAGCTCTGTCATTCCTCAACCAGAAGCTACTGTATATCAACTAGACAAAAGACTCCAAGCTCCATAATATGCACCAGCCAAACAACCGAAGCTCTGCTCTGTGCTCTGCTCTGCTCTCTCTCACCCCTCCCGAAAAAAAAAGGACCCTTATTACTACGGTAGCTTTCCTGTTAAAGCCGTGTCATGCAAGATATGTACAGCTCTTCCTATTCGGGCAAGGATCCCTTTTGCTCCCCGGGACCTAAACCGTTCCCGCGTTGGCGGCAGTGGCCGGTGGAGAAGATCTAGAACGTTGTTTCTTGGGGGGAGCTTTTCCCCTGCCTGTTGTCTTTTGAGGACTTGCAGCATAGAGAAGGAGATTGTGATAAAAAAGCTAGAGATGCATGTGATCACGCGGTTCGCGGACGTCGGAACGAAATTGACAGACAGACAGACGAATGGAATCATTCAATGCTTCGCGCAGTCCGAAGCAGTCATGGTAGTATTTTGTACGAAACAACAGCAACATCATCATCAACAACAAAAAAAGAGGTACATAGGAGATTTTTCTTTTCTTTGAAATACACTTGGTTCGACGTTCATGTCCATTAAGAAAGCAAAGAAAAGCCACGACAAACAGAGGGAAAAAGACAAGAGACATGAGAGAAAAACCCACACACAAATACATGCAACGGCCAATACAGCCTGCCATCCCGTGATACGATTTCGAATAAGTCATGCTATACCTAAATATGGAAAGAGGATAAACGAGAAGCACGCAACTAGAGAGAGAAAAAAAAAAAATACCTGATCCGCTCAAAAGAAAAATGCCGGCTCTGCAGAACAAGACAAGCAAAGACCCCTGGCAGATTGCCCCTCCTGGAATAAAAAAGAGGGAAAACCACGAGAGCAAGGGAAGAAAAAGGGAAAAGAACAGTATGCATGCAGATTACCCACGCCTGCAAGATATAGTAGCACTCACTCTCCCAGTAAGTTAACCCGGAGAGTACTGTAACAACAGACGAAAAAAAAAAAAAAAGACAAAAGAGGTCACCGACAATGCAGCAGCTCGTTCGGACATTTATCGAACTAGCAATAGGACTCGTAGTAGTAACAAGATGGAGGCTGCTGCTTTTTTTTGCTGCAGATCTCCACACAACTCTTCGGCTTTACGCCGCTCAAATCACTTGAAACGCCCTCCCGTTTGTTGACCTGCCAATGGTCTTGAAGGACTGATATTTCCCATCGGACCCCATCACGTCGAACCGCTTCAGGCCCATGGACGCCTCGGTGTAGCCGCTGAAGTAGTACCCAATCACCACGACAAGGTATGTCAGCAGGAGGATGCTGCCCTTGAAGTAGTTGCTCTTGCCCTCGCCGTACACGTAGCTGAGCAAAAACACGCACAAGATGACCGTCACAAGGTCCCATTGCGGGAAGAGCAGTGAAAAGGTATACATGGCGGCATCGCCCCCGGCAGGGATGCCTGGGAACACGGCCGAGAAGAGCACGAGGCACGGAATTTGCAGCAGGCACACCTGGAGGGCGTATGCGGAGCCAATCTCCATCGATAGTGCAATGTTTCCGTTCATGGCAAACGAAATGGCGTTCTAATCAAGCAGGAAAAAAAAATTCCAATAGCGTCAGCAAAAAAACGTGGGCACGGGGCACGAGGGAGGCACGGGCTCAGGGGATTGGGTGGGAATGGATGGGCGGATGCTTACCAAAAACTCGGTAGTATTGGGGACTAGGGCAAAGAGGGTCAGCCCGAGAAACTTTTGGTCAATGGAGAAGCTCTCGAGCACGACGTCGACAGTGTCGACCAGAATCTCGGCAATAATGGCGTACAGGATGGTGGCTCCCAGCAAGATCACGGTGCTCTTGGTGCGGCTCCAGTTGGGCGCGTCGTGGCCGTGGCCCCCTGCGTGAGCAGTTGCAGCTCCCGCAGTAGCGGCGTCTTCCTCGACATCGGCGTGGTGGCTGGCTCGGCTGGTGCCGTGCGGCCGCGGTGTTGCTGGGCCGGCGGCGCTGGACGGCTTGTGTGCGCTCGTATACCGGTCGCGGGAGGCAATGGTGGCGGCCGTGGCAGCGATCTCGGCAACCTCTCGCACCAGGTTGTTGTCCACCTGGCTCAGGCCGGGGACCTTGATCGTTGGGCGCAAAGGCTGCTCCTCATCAGCACCACCCCTGGGCGGCACCACGTGAGGGGTGCTGTTCGATCCGTTGGCACCACCGGCATCCTGGGCAGCCGTGGAGCTCGGGCGGGAGGTGTCCGGTAGACCGACCTGCTTGAGAGACTGGCCTAGAATGCGCTTGTAGAGATGCGTTTCGCGTATATTATCGGCGCCGGTGGCTTCGGCCGTTGACGTCTGCTGCGGTGCTCGAAGAGTGACCGACGCGTGCATCACCTCCTCGTGTTTCTTTTCCTCCACCTCGGCGTTCCAGATGACGGCAGCGTGAGTGCGCAACGTGAACCACAGACCGACGAGGTATGCAAAGAAGAGCAGAAAGGCGGCCATGTAACAGTACGGCCGCACGGCTTCGATATAGAACCGGTCGTCAAGCGCGGGCGCCTGCGAGAAGTAGCACCGTCGGCAATCGCGTGCGGCACCCCCGTTGAGGCCGCCGTTGCCATAGTCTTCGCAGTCCATGCAGTTGAGCTCATGGGTACCATAGATTTGATAGAATAGCGTTGGGCCGAAAGCGCCAACAACGGCAAAGAGTAGCATGGTGGACGTTACGCCGGCCGACTTGGCGTTGAATCGTTGAGTCTTTCGCTTCAGGGCCCCGAAGCACATGGAGATGCCTGGCAGGAACAAGATACCGGCGAATATGCTTCCCACGATACTTCCCTCGACGAGCTGGCCTTTGCCCTGGCTCAGCGCAACGCAGTAGAGAAACACTTCCACGACGGTGGCGAAGAAGGCGTTGATGGCAGCGCCCAGGCCCATGGAGGACTGAGCTGAGATGGATGCCACGGCCTGGCCGATGAAGTATGCCAGTGGGATGATGGAGAGCAGGCCCGCCACAAACAAGAAGGCGGGCGATGTGAGGAGCATCTCCACGTGCAGGATTCGGTCCAGGATGGCCCAGTCGGCAATGACAAACACGACGACGACCATGAGGTTGATTAAGAAGATGTTTGTGCCGTCAATGGTGTATTTCCAGTACTTTGAGCCGACTGCCCGATAGGTGCAGACCAAGATGGATGAGTCTGGGGCGTCGTCGACTCGCGCGTAGCTGATGTGGGATTCAAACGACAGGGCGAGAGGATGCCTCCTGAGATGGTCGAACAGCAGCATGGTTACCTTGCCCATGGGAATCCAGAAGACGAGAAACCAGCAGATGCCAGACACGATGATCAACGAAGGCGAGATGAGGCAGTAGAAGAAGATGAAGAAGATGATGCGGCCAATGTTCCACTCGCCGCGGCCAAACAGCCTTCGCTTCATCCGGGGGTGCAGATCGCCAGAGTCGCCGCGACGCCCTCGTCCCAGCAGGCTCTCCGTCTCGCTGGGCTCCGAGTCGATGCTCCTCCTGGAGCGGCCGATGATGGAACGGTGTCGATCGGGCCCAAAGAATAGCCGGCCGTACTCGAGGTCGCCGTTCTGCCACTGCTCGTACTCGGAGATGCTTCTGCCCTCGTCCTGATCCTCGTCCAAGTAGGCCTCATCCTTCTCGAGCCGAATAAACTTGCCAAACGGGTAGAACAGATAGCCCGCCAGGCCCCACAGGACTCTTCCATATTCCCTTCCGCTAGGCGCGGCGGCAAACAAGAGGCATATGATTGCGCCAAAGCCTGCAAAGCAGGCTATCCACCACCCAAAGAAGATTGTCCACACCAGGTTGAAGAGGAGCAACCAGTTGCTTACCCTGCCACCGGGTGTAGAGTGAATGTCGGCCTGGGCAAACTTTTGAATAGATCTGTCTTTCTTGTACAGTGCAGGCTTCCAAACGCGAATACCAAACGGGTGGGTTTGGTTGATGGCCTGCTGCCTGTCTTTGAGTGTGAAGCTCTCAGCCTCGCTGATTTCGCCGTCGGACTCGCAGTCAACGTGCTCTTCCAGTGGCAATTCCTCCTCAGCCTCACCGTGCTCCTCCTCAGCCTCGCTGGCTTCATCGTCTCGTTCGGCTTCGTCGTCGTCCTCGGTGCTACGAAATGACTGTATACGGGCGAGTGATGGAGGGGGCGGGCGTCGGCGCGTCGATAAGCCCGCGCGGCGTTCGGCGGCATCTGCCTCGACCTCGTGGGTGTCGTCGTCTACAGAGAAGACCTCTCTCTTGTGCGGTGTATTGGCTGATGTACGCCGTGACAGCGGCGGTTTCCGTAGGCGAGAATAGGACTGACTCCTCTCGACGCCTGCGGCAGACGTGGAGCGGCCAGCCTGACTGCTCCGCCCTGCTTCACCCAGCGTCTGGCTGCTTCTCATGCTCGAGGACCCCTGGATGGTGCCTTTGAAGGGTTGGGTTAGCATGGACATCCGAAGAAAACGGCGTGCGTATGACGGTGTCGCGTTGTCCTACCATAGCCCTCGGGTCGCCGCCGTACGGTGTCTGTCGACTGAGTACTGTCGTCTACGAGGGACGTTTGCCTCGACAGGGGATTGGCTCGAGTGTCCGTCGGTGACATCATGCCGGAGGAAACGCTGCCGCGATGCGCTGATGGCGCGTTGTCCTGCTGCGACGGATCCATGGCTGGCGATGGCGATGGCGATGTCGATGTCAAAGCGGCGACGGTGCCGCGACAAAGTTGATGATGTACCTCGCAGGCCTGCTGAACGAGGTCTCGGCAGGTTTAATAAAAAAAAAGGGCTGAGATAACGACGTTCGAAGGTATCCCTGTCCACCGGCGGCTTTTAGATAGATCGGGCTAGTGAGCTCTAGCAGTGTGGAGGGGCTCTGAACACGGGATCAGCGAGTGTGTGAGTGTGTGTCGATGATGGCAGTTTTGGTTATGTGGCATCACGGCATGAGAGAAGAAAAGGGAGAGAAAGATGTGAAGAAGAAGAAGTTGATGGTGGGATGTTGGAAAAGATGGGAGATGAGATGAGAGGAAGAAATTATCAAAAGGAAGAGCAACAGCAAGAGCAAGAGGTGAGCTGAGCTGAGGTTGGCAGCCGGCAAGCGGACCCAACTCTAATTGATGGCTGAGGCACTGGCTCGGGTATCTCCAGAGTCAATTAGCGAATCCGGACTTACAAAGAGCAGTGGACAATGAGGCCTGGAGAACGAATATGAGGCGCAGGATAAGCGGCAGGGAGCCCAACGAAGCGCAATGGCTGTGGCCGTGAGATATGCAAAGAATGTCAACAGGCTGCCCTTTGCTCGTACTCGTAGAGCTAGCCTCGGCGAGCCCGCTTTTTGTATTGATGCAGGTATGCAATACAATGCCTCGCTTGTGTCTGATGTTGCAGAAACATGCGAATACACGCAGAAACAATAAAGAGAGAGAAGAAAAAGCACTAAACAGAGACAGAGACAGAATCATTTGGAACATAAACAGAAGCAAGGCATTCATGGACTCTCTCACCGTCTGGGGGCCGCTCACACGACTTGACCTATCGCTTTGGCGCACCTTGTGATCCGCAAATCATGACCAGCCAGGATCTAATGCAACGTCATTTTGCGCATCGTCCACCGCATGGCATGATGGGGAGATTACAGGAAACTAGTTACATGTACGTGTTGATGCTAGCATTACGGAGTCATGAGCAACAGACACGAAAGAAACGGGGAGAGGAGAAAAAAAACACGCAAGCGCAATATATAATAGACGCGGTGCCATGCAGCCCGGAATTAACAGCTGCAGCTCTGGCGCAAGGGAGGGTGAGCTGTGAGCGAAGCTATGAGCGCTAATCTCCAGCGTCCTTCAGGCTGCGGTTAGTGCCCAAGCTCGAGCTGATGGTGGCTTTTGACGTGCATGCAGCAGCTGTTGCATTTGTACGTCAGCCAAGGCTAGGCCCGATTGTCGCTGGCGGCGGTTGCAGCGCTAGTGCTGGTAGCTTCACTGGAGTTACAGAGTACAAGAACAATGGACGAGACTCAGAGGGATGCCAGAGCGGAACCCGGCAGAATAAATGTTCCGAATTCGATTGACGCTTACGAGCACCAGCTGTAGCCTTGCGCAGCTTCAACTTGGCCCCAATCCCGGACGACAGTCGGCACATGCACCACCATTCCGCATTCACCATCTCAACGACGCATCACCGCAGCCTCCAACAAAGCATTGATCTTTGGCAAATCTCCATCTCTCTCATCTCTCACACATTCCCAGCATTATCCCCCCACTGGGAGCCCGCCCAAGATGGCGCTCGACGAGTACTACCGCAACAAGATCGAGGCGATGAAGCTGGAGATCCTCAAGGGTCAGGCTGCACTCCGCCGTCTCGAGGCCCAACGCAACGACTACAATTCCCGAGTCCGGTTACTGAGAGAAGAGCTGGGCCTGCTACAGCAGCCTGGATCCTACGTCGGAGAGGTTGTCAAAGTGATGAGCACCAAAAAGGTGCTTGTCAAGGTACATCCCGAGGGCAAATATGGTTGGTCATCAATGATATCACCCCGCGATTCGCTCACAGCTCCTAACCCCCGGCGTGCTAGTTGTTGATGTCTCCGATAACGTCGAAATCTCCAAGCTCACCCCCGGAAAGAGAGTCACACTCTTGTCAGACAGCTACAAGCTCGAGAAGATGCTGCCGTCATCGGTCGATCCCCTGGTATCGCTCATGATGGTAGAAAAGGTCCCCGACAGCACATACGACATGATTGGTGGATTGGATCAGCAGATTAAGGAGATTAAGGAAGTTATCGAGCTGGGCCTCAAGCATCCCGAGCTCTTCGAGTCTCTCGGCATAGCCCAGCCCAAAGGTGTCTTGCTGTATGGACCACCCGGTACGGGCAAGACGCTGCTGGCCAGAGCCGTGGCCCACCACACGGCCTGCAAGTTCATCAGAGTCTCTGGTTCGGAGTTGGTGCAAAAGTACATTGGCGAGGGTAGCCGAATGGTCCGAGAGCTGTTCATCATGGCCCGAGAACACGCCCCGTCAATCATCTTCATGGACGAAATCGACAGCATTGGTTCCTCCCGAGTGGAGGGCTCATCAGGTGGAGACTCTGAGGTGCAGCGAACCATGTTGGAGCTGCTGAACCAGCTTGACGGTTTCGAGCCCACCAAGAACATCAAGGTCATCATGGCCACGAATCGTCTCGACATTCTAGATCCCGCCTTGCTGCGACCCGGACGTATCGACCGCAAGATCGAATTCCCCCCGCCGAGCATCGAAGCGCGAGCCGACATTCTCCGAATCCACAGCCGCAAGATGAACCTGACCAGAGGCATTAACCTGACCAAGATTGCAGAGAAGATGAACGGCTGCTCCGGAGCCGAGCTCAAGGGTGTGTGCACAGAAGCGGGCATGTACGCCCTCCGTGAGAGGAGAGTTCACGTCACACAAGAGGACTTTGAACTGGCGACTGCCAAGATTCTCAACAAGCATGATGATAAGGAGGTTTCCCTCGGCAAGCTGTGGAAGTAATTGGTTTGCATGTCAACAAACACACACCCACTCATACAGACACGCAAAAAAAGAAAGGAAAACAAAAAACATTGTATCCTGCAGCATCGGGTTTATTTTATAGAAACAACTATGGCAGCCACGGACTTGGAGTTGTAAGGGTAGTTCAATTATACCATAATGCGGGTATCAACCCCCTAGCTGCCTTCCATCTTTGATCCCCATCACTATGTATCGAATGATATGAGACTGTACTATATATCGCCACCTTGTATGAGACAAACATTGACACTATCAGCATGCAGCGCAACAGCGTTTTCAATTCCAGCAAGAAGAGAGCGAATCTAGCCTACACACGTCTATTCTACACCGTCTATGCCAACTTGCGAGCAATCATCTACTTTCGCTGGCTTGGCTCTCCCTCAGGGGAAAAGACGCCATGCATGCCCTTGTATCCGGCCGTCTCTGCAGGCTTCCAGCCACTCTTTGAGAGGAGCTCCTTGTCCTGCAGCTGGTAGACCTTGACGTGTAGGGGACGGCAGACCTTGATCATTTCCTTTTCGCTGTCGCTTCCAAAGCCCCAGAGGGAGAGATCGCCGCCAGGACAGGTACCTAGTTTCATCATGTCAGTCACACTCATGGCATCTCATCTATACATAATAAACGGGGGGAATATGAAAAAAACATACTCAGAGCCATGAGGACGTCCTGCTCAGCGAGGAACTCGATAGAATCCCCTTTCTCAGCCGGACACGGGCTCATGAAATAACGCCCCTTTTCATCTAGCCCAGTGACCTGGAACAAATTCAAAACATCATGAACATCCTCCTCTCTCAGCCCCCACTTGGCCACGGCGCGGCTCAGGTTCGAGTGGCAGTGGAAGTCGTACTGCGAGTCCGACAGCACGGTGTTGATGTACGGGTCGCAGCGGGTGCCCAGCAGGTCGTGGACGCGGCCGCCGTTTTCGTCCTGGCCGTACCACGCGAGGCTGTCGGAGAGGATTGTGACGAGGGGCCGCATGTAGGGGAGGTTGGACCAGAGGCGGTCGTGGGTGGACACGTGGGTGGAGTGAAGCTGGCGGGTGCGGGAGGCCCAGAAGCGTTCGCGGGGGTTGTGGCGGTTCCAGATGTTGAGATCGCCTTTTTTTTTTTTTCATGTTAGCTGGATGATTCGTTGACTGAGAAGTATGCCATATTATGCTGGTGTTCGATATGATGAGATGTTGAGATGAAGGGGAAGATACGATACATACCGACTTGAGGCCCCTCGGGCGTGCTGATGCTCACAATTGATCCTGCCGGTGCCTCCCAAGCCCTTCCCGATCGGATAGGAACAGTGAATTCCTCAACGAGGACCCTCGGAGCTTGCTGGATGGCCTCGTAGAGGTTCTTGTCGACGCTCAGGGGGGAGCCGGCAGTTGGGAGATAGGCCGGGACGGGCTTCGGGACGGGCTTGCGGGCCTTGAGGCGTTCCTCTGCAGAGAGACTGCTTGCGGATTGAGACATTTTGGATTTATATCTATCTTTCCTAAAAAAATTGTTGGCATGAGGTCTTTATGAAGAGTGAGATGAGATGGCAAACTACCTGGTGGAGTATGACACTCTGTTTTGGAGAGAGTTGGGGATGATACTAGTTTAAGAGTATCAACCAAAAAACCGTGGCAATTTGATTATTTCTTATATCACGAGAAGGAAATCAAACACAACTATGGCGCCTTTCCATTCAAGAATCACATAAAGAACTCAACACCTCAATTCAAGCTTCATCTACAAAAGCCCGCGCTCGGGGACGTATGACTAAGAGCCAAAAAGCTGGACTCAGAGAAACGGAGCCCGCCTTCTGTGAACATGCGGGGGAGAGATTTGCCTCCGCAAAATCTGACGCCAAAACGGCTGGACTGTAATCATTATTGATAAGGACTTGAGAGGTTTTTTTTTCTTAAAGAGTCTTGGTATTTTTATTCGTCCTATCGGAAGGGACTTTGGATTTGTGGTTTGTTTGGTTGAGGAGCGTTTAGGGGGTTTTTGTGTGAAAGGGCGCGCCTTTGGCGGGTTTTGACGGCATAACGGGGAGGTGGGAAAGAGAAGCGAATTTGTTTTATTTGTGGCTAATTGCTCTGGAGAGGGGATATTTGTAAACGATCAAATTCCGATTGATTTCAAACCATTTCCGCGGTAGCAATTGGGCCATGAATATGGGTAAAGAGAAGCTATTTGATGCGTTGCAGGCGAAAAGAGGACAATGCCGGTTTCGCTCGTTTGGCTCAGTACTATATCGTGTGAATGCAGCCACACTGCGGAATAGAAATAGAAATAAAGAACTCGGTCCGATCCGCGCTGCTCGGAAATCACTGCTTCGTTCATGTTCTAGACATTGCTTGGCATTGCTAATCTGTGTTTGTAGATCGCAATATGGGAAGCATATCAAGTGGGTGTACAAGTCATGATTTGACGCAGTTTTGCTACAGGTCTAAGTCAATAGGTGTTTATTGTGGGGGTTGTTCATCTGCAAATGTGCCTGTATCTTTCACCCAAAGATGTTGATACTTTACGATGCCTATTATTAGCTGAGACGGTGCTACGGATGGTTGAAAATAATGTTTCTACGCCTCAAGAGAAATGGCAATGGACAGATGCAACAGATTTATACTGGAAACTTAATCTCGGGCCATCACGACCCGAAACCACTCCACTTGTCTGGCTTCTGGAGACGTGAATTTCTTCTTCTCCACCGTCACTCTGGGGCTGAGGAACCTGTGACACGGCTTACAAGTGCTTCAAATCCGATACGATGCCCAGACGAAGCAATCACAAAGCACAAAGCAAAATCCCCTGCCCAGCACGTCTTGGGCTCTCTTGACAGGAGCAAGTTGCCCGAAAGCAAAGAATCGAAACGCCTCGGCAGCGGTAGATGGGATTCCGAGGTTGTCAGCGCGTTATTTCCAGCTCCATGCGCACTTTGCCTAGCGGGATACGTGGATGCTTGTTGTTAGTCAAGGCGGGAAAACGATGGTGGTTTTTGGTCCTCGAGTTTTGACTCCGTCGTAAGCATGATGATTAAGGCCAGCCGAATTGGATCCCACGACCAATCAACACGCAGGGCAACGCTACGCTCGGGAATAAGATGCATGTACTGCAGGATTTAGCTAGCTTAGGCGGTAGTTTGAAAAAATGACCTGTGATAATGCCTCAGCTGGGGAGACCGGCGGCTCACATCAGTCAGCAGGGTAACGAAAAGGCGCCGAGTCCTACGACTTACAACCGACGTAAGACAAAATAAAAAGATCAAGTGAATAGAGGAATGCGCCTTGAAAATAGGGCCTGGAACCTCTCTTTCCCGCCCTCTGAATCCTGCAAAGAGATTTCCCTGCTTTTGGTGCACAAGGACCGCCAGGAAAAAGAACTCACGAGACGTTTTGGTGGAGAATGGGAAAAAGGGTCTGGTGTTTTGAGATTGCGTGACCCGACAGAGATTGCGTGACTCGGAAATCGGGCCAGGCTGAAGCAGGGAAAAAAAATGTCTAGCAGACCGATGGAAAAAAAAAGAGAGAGAGCCCATCACCCCCTTCGGAATACCTACACCTCTCGGAATACCCTTTTTTTTCTTCTACAGCTTTTTCGTTAGTACGGGGCGTGTATGTGTCCCTTGTTGCTTGTTTTAGAGCGAAGCTTGCTTGACGGACGGCCCACGGTTCCGGCTTTCCGTTATTAGACTGAGCGAAGAGAGCAATGCGTGCTGGGGGGCGTTCCAATTCGTATTGAATGGGTTCATCAGGTCCGTTGTGGTGAGGTGTTATGGAGTACCTGTAGAGCTAGCAGAACTGGCTGCTCCATTGTTGTACATCGTTAGCTGCTTACCAGTTTTACCATGCGTGGTCTTTTCACGGTCCACGTACTGCCGGTATCTTACTGCCTATGTAGGTAGTAGCCCGGAGACTTTTTCGACTGCTGTGAAACTATGTACATGTAGGAGGCCATCGGTAGGGATGCCGTGATGCAAGTATGTAGGTACTTGGTTGCAGTTCGTGGCCATCGCAATTTGGGCTCGCAAGCCCTATCGAAGCACCCGTCTTGGGGTGGGAGCTGATGGGATGGCAGATGGAGGGGGTCTAACAGACAAGACAGGGCCAGGGGGGGTTTAATGAAAGACCAGCAGCTCTGCTGTTACAGATTCCGGTCAGTGTACTAGTAGGACCAAGTTGATCGTCGAGCTGCAACCGGTGTGAGAATGACGGGCCTCCCCATGCTTTTTGTCGGGGAAATACCACACAACTGCTGCGTGTGTTGCTGGATGGACAAGTCTGGACCGCGACGGCTGAGATGTTGTTGTTCAGTTGATGCCGAAATAACCACGTTTGACTGGGTGCTGGTCCCGAGGACTCCGCACGATTTACAGTACATGAAATCTCGAAAGGGAGGGATGGTGTGTTGTGTGTGTGGTCGCAGCTCTAGAACAGAACAGAGTGGTGTCTGTATGGAATATTATCCTTGTGATAATGGGTTGGATGGGCAGGTCTAGTCACAGTCCAGTGCGGGCCGGTAGTGTGTAGTTTGAGAGGATAGTTGGGTTCGGTGCCTGTCCATCACTTTTTTTTTTTCATTGACCGTTGCTGTGGCTGTGAAAATCAATCTGTCCTGTACATACTAACATAGAGTATCGGTATCGGTATCCAATCCTCGATATATGGACGATTGGGCTTCTTGTCAGAAGTCGTGATTCATTGTCTGCGACATGTACGTACACTCACAGTCATGCATTAGGAAGGCGGACAGAGACTTGCTTACGGCCGTTATGCCGTTTTGAGACGGCTACGTCATTGCTCCCGCGCTGCGACAAGAAGCTGCCCTTTTCGCCCCCGTTTTTTTTCCCAAACCAAATCTCAGCTGGGCCGCTCGCCTTGGCGCCTGTGGAAGTGACATGTAATTCGGTAATACAGTCTGCGGCACTGTGCCCGTCCGCGGAATGTTCCACGTCGTCGGGTTCTAGACTTTCTTTTTTGCTGATGCAATCCAAGTTGATGTTGCGTTGAACCGGCAATTGCATGGCGAGAATCAAGCTTTGGCCGGCAGGCACCCGCTGGTGGATGCCCGGGCCAAGCAACCAAGCAAACAATCAAATCGCATCGCCCAGCCCCAGCCCAGCCCAGCCCAGACGATAAGACGCAGTGTCGTGTCGTGTCCTACAGGTACTCGTACATGGCGGTGGTGTGGTGGAGAGGGGAGCGGAAGGGGTGCCCCGATGTACTTTTACGGGCAGATGCACAGTGCAGGATACAACAATTTGAACTCCTTCATGATGAGTACCCCAAGTTGGGTCAACATTGATGGGTATAAACCTCCCTCTTTAGTGCAAGTGTTAATAGATGCCAGTTTCACTATAGCTCCATTTTATAAAACAAATAAAACCACCCGCATTGAGCACGAAAAAGAGCAGCAAAAACAGACCATGAGCAGCATTGATCAAGAATCCATCCCTAGGCCAAAAGTTACCCGGCGGTACAAAGCGGACAAGGATTACGGGGACACGGAGCATCGCGGAGCCGCTTTTTCTTTTGGGGCTCCCAAAGTCTGGACTCGACCGACCAGGACCAAAGGGGCACGGTGACGTCCTGCGGCAGCGCCACCCGCGCTCTGGTTGGCCCTGGCGCGCCTGTGAGGGGCGGCCTACGGGGGCCCTACGGGGGCCTTACGGGGGGCTTGAGGGGGTCTTTATGGGGGACGTAGCATGGACTCTTTTTGCAGCAAAGTCTGTACCTAGTAGCGAGTCTCTATGCACCTAGCGAGTCTGTAGCACCAAGGGCCAAGCAAGTGCGTCTTTCTTAGCGGGGACCCTTGGCCCTTGGCGCCGCAATGACGATGTGGTGGGGCCGCTGGCGTCGAGAGGCCATGCGAGAAGACGGTGGCTGCAGCGTTTCGGGGCCTGTCTGAATTTCTGGCTTCATTCTGCATTCTGCGTGACTTGTCACCACGAGCCGGCGTCTTTATTGCTGTCTTTGGCGGGCATTGGGGTGGGTGGGTTTGCTTCAAACATGTGTTTTTAAGTTGTTGTTGAAGAAAAGGCAAAATAAGGCTATATTGTCGTGTTATTGAAGCGTTCGTTGCCCGGTGGAGGCGGGGGACTCCATGTCCCCGGGACAACCAACTGCCTGTCAACCCAGACGAGGTGAACCAGATCCATGATTACATTACATGACTCTCCAGACCAGAAATAGTAATGCAAACTACTGTAGCATCAAGTAGCAGCAATTTGCAAATATTGCTCCCACCCAGCTAGCAAGCAGCTTAATGCAACGCGAACGGTTCCCCGTTAGTGCCAAAGTTAATCACAATCGTCATTCATCTCACAAGTCGGTCAGCCCCAAAATTCCATTGTGCGGGCCAGGCCTGCGCTTTTGCGTGACGCCAGAGCAGCGGTTGAGAATCTGCCATGTTGTCTTCGAATTTCTGAGCAACCGGGCGGCAGCAGCAGCTAAATTCCCCTTTGGGGCGGCACCATTGTCAGCCATAGACCAAAGCTGGCCCCAACGCCTCTTTTTTTTTTTTTTAACCGCCAGGCCAGCCTCAGAGCCGCCTGCGCAGGGGGCAATTCGTAACCAAGACGCCTGTGACGAGGAGGCCGTTGCAGGAGCTGTGCTGGCAGAGACGGCCGTACAGTCGAGGGTCCGCTGGCAAAATCAAACGGCGTCGACGTGATGGATGGAGAACCTGGGGGGGAAAAGAAACGGCAGAAACTGGTCCAGCGTACAGTACGGAGGGCCGACGATACGGAGTACATGCCGCACATTCTGGCAGATCACTGAGTAAACAAACCGGTTTGCTGTGCTTGCAGCCCGAGGAATAGACCAGATCCAGACCCTTTCTCCTGCTCCATGCTTGTCATGCCAGCGCCGATCCCTTCCGCACGCGATCACCAGCGACCTCATCCTCCAGCCCCCGGGCCGCCGTCATCGTGTACCTCCAAGTACCTGCTGCTGGTTCTCGTTTCTCTGTCCGACCAGCGCTGTGCTGTGCTGTACAGTAGCGTTGCGAGCTGTCCATGTACGATTACAGGCACGTTGCCACGCCTTGTTCTTGTGTAGGCCCGCAAAACCCTTCAGCCTCTGCTCAATCTGGCGTTCTGGAGTCGTCGATGGGTTGGATTGGATTCCGGGGGAATGGCATTGCCTGATCTTGCGGTAGGATGCTAGTATCATCATGGTCACAATCAGACATCGTCATAATCGTGTGGACAATGTCTCATCTTGTTCTTCTTAAAAGAGGAAACGTAAAAGCAAAAAAAAAAGGCGATCAAGTACATGTGCCCGGGACAAAGTAAACTCACCCGCGCCTGTACCTCTCCTCATCCACCGTTTTGGCGCTGTTGCAACCCCTAACCGCGCTGTACTCTCAGGTGGTGGTGGTACTCTCCCCCAGCCCGGTACCTTGCAGTACTTGTGCCATTTCTGCAGGGCCCCCTGTTCCCCCTCCCACACCTTCCCAGCTTCTGCTCTCCTCCAAAAGCTCCGTCGTCTTCTGCCATCTTTGTCTGCCCTGTCTTTTCTCCCTTTCCCAGCGCTCCATCTCACCCACACACCCCTTCTGGCTCTGCGCGCTAATCTGGACGGGACCGAAAAAAAAGAAGAGAAAAAAAGATCGTCCGGGGGTGGCATCCTCACCACGTTGGGCCCCATCCCGCAAGCAGAACATTTTGCAACACGAGAGCACCAGCACCGGAAACTTTGCCCCTTCATCCCACAATCTCCCGTCCTCACCCCCCCAGAGAACCTACGGCAGCCTCAACTGAACTCCCTCGGTCGAATCGAGTTCCTTCTGGCTGCTTGTATTCTGTGGTTTCACCTTGATCCCGTCCTCGACCCGGGTCTTCGCTTCTGTCCGTTCCTTTTCGCCTCCGTGCCGGGTGCCATCTACGCCATTTACTCAGTCTGTTTCCCTCCTACACCACCCCTTTCCTTTCAATCCTTTACAACATCCAGCATATTATTCCAGCATATTATATCCAGCCCTACTGTTTTGTGCCAGCTCCGTCTCTGCATTGCTGCATACAGATACCCAGTAGGCTATCCAGCTCTCAGAGTCGTCATTACCACTGCATTACCATCCTTGCACAGCCGGGTCGGCCGTGGGCACATTGTCATAGACACCAACGCCACATCATTTCGGTACTCTTGCCACCTCGTTTCGACTTAAAGAGCGCGGTCCAGAGTCTCGATTACTTGATACGACTCTCTCCTCATCCACCCGATTCCACTTCGACCTTGTCCTGGGACGCGTCAAAGAAGCATAAGCTTCACGAGTTTGCTTCTGGTCGATCATTTGCGGATCCCCCAAGCAAGCCAAAGCTGCATTTATATCACATCTCAGCGTCACCACCACCGGCCACACACAAGTTGTCGGGACATTTCACAAACCTCCTTCCTAGTTATGGGCCTTTGGAATTGCTGATGAGCACCAATCTAAATGTTATCGACACCCCCTCTTGAACAGGCTCAGGCCATGCACGACTCTCGGGCTGGCGACCGGACGCCTGTCCACTACACCGTCAGGACTCACACGATGCCATCGCCAGCTCCCGTCACCTCTCACTCTCACTCCCTCTCGCAATCATCTCGCACCGGCAAGACTGGCATGTCGACGACTCCCGCTTCCTCGCCCCGCGCCTCCCATTCCGTCGGCCAGAACCATCCTCCCAAGCTGTCTCCGTTGCGGCCCGACATGAGGCCACCGAGCCCCAACTACTTTGGACTGGTCGTCGATTCGTCCCACGACCCTCGAGATTCTTCCGGCCTGGGCAACAACTGGAGTCCAGCCTCGTCGTCAGTCAAGTCCTTTGCTGCCGCTCTGCCCAGGCCTATCGAAGCTACCAATCCCGACTTTGAGGCCTTCAGGAGGCAGATTGATATAAACAGGGGTGGCAGGTCGTTTGCTCTGCCAACCTCACATTACGTCCAGCCCACTTCCAACCCCGCCCTCACACGCCCACGAGTGCCTAGAGCGCATACTCATGCGAGCGATACGGGCTCAGAGAACTCCTTTCCTCGCCTTAGCTTGCCAAGAGACCGTCCGTCAAGTCGTATGGATGTAGACCAGGATAGCCTCCATGACTCTGCATATGTATCGTCCGACTCGAAGCGCAATTCTGAAGCTTCGTTATTTCCAATGCAGCTCACTAACCTCCCGAGATTCGAGTCCCCGATGCCAATGGACCCCATGCAGTCTCAGGCGACGCCGGCTCGATCTGAGAACACAAACACCCAACTCACAATGACTGAGCACAGGCCCCAGCCTCCTTCACCCAATCCACCGTTGACGCCCCTAACGAGAGCTGCCACAATGCCCATTAAGCTGGAACCCGGGCAACCATCATTGATCACTGCAGAAACTCTCAAGGACCTACTCGAGGCCGAGGATGAGGACGATATTTTGCTGTTGGACATACGGTCTTCAACAAACTACGCCGCGTCCCGAATCCAGGGAGCCCTCAACCTGTGCATCCCCACCACTCTCCTAAAGCGTAACACTTACAACACCGAAAAGTTGCAACAGACCTTCCAGGACAGCTCCGCTGGAGACAAGTTTGCCACCTGGAAGGATGTAGAAAGGATCATTGTTTACGATTCCCACTCGTCGGATGCGCGTGACACCGTTGCGGCCCAGAACATGATTAAGAAGTTTACAAATGAGAAATACCTCGGAGAGACTGCCATTCTCAGAGGTGGCTTTCAAAAGTTCCAAAGCTTGTTTCCTGGCTTTGTCGATAAGTCCTCGACTGTGCCTGTGAACCCCGACGGCGGTGGTTTCCCAGGTGCTATGAGAGGCCTTGCTCCTGTCATTGGTGGCGTCAGCCTACCAACGTCCATGAACCCTTTCTTCTCCAATATCAGACAGAACATGGACCTGGCAGATGGCGTCGGCCAATTGGACGTTGCTTGGCCTCATGGGCTGGAGTCCGACGTGCTTCCTCTGTGGCTTCGCGATGCGGCAGCCCCGCAAGACCACGGCAAACGTGTGTCGGATTTCTTTTTGCGGATTGAGATGGAAGAGAAGACTCGTATGCAGAATGCGTATGCCGCGTTCAACGAGGGGAACCCTGCCCACAATCCAGCCATGAACGGCCGGGTGCAGCTCTCGGGCGTTGAAAAGGGCGGCAAGAACCGCTACAAGGACATTCTCCCCTTTGAGCATGCGCGTGTCAAGCTTCAAGACAAACCCTTAGGGGCTTGTGACTACATCAATGCCAGTCATCTCAGTGCGTCGAGGAGCAACAAGAAATATATTGCGAGCCAGGGCCCCCTGCCCGCTACTTTTGAGGTGAGATGAATCATTTACAAATGGATGCCTCATTTGCTAACTTTTTATAGGACTTCTGGTCGGTTATCTGGGAACAGGATGTGCGCGTTATTGTCATGTTGACGGCCGAATCTGAAGGCGGCCAACTCAAGTGTCACACGTATTGGAAAGATCGCGAATACGGGCCTATCAAACTGAAGCAGCTTTCCGAGAAGAAGGCATCACTTGACCTCGACAAGCTCGACAAGCATCGTTCTGCCGCCACGCAAAACAGCAACGCTTCATCGAGTGAGGCTGGCCGAAGGCGGGCTAACACGACAACCACCCTGGAGACGGCTACAGGAAAGTCTACTCCCCTCCAAGAGCAATCTGAGCCAACGTTTGTCACCATTCGCAAGTTTGCTCTCACGCATTCTTCTCACCCCTTTGCTCCCATTAGGGAGATTACTCATCTCCACTTCTCTTCTTGGCCCGACTTTGGCACGCCGGCCCAGCCGTCTCACCTTCTTGCCTTGGTAGAACTCGCCAACGTCATGCAGCGTGCGGCTCTCCCGGTCGAGACGGCCTCGATTATGGGATCCAGCAAGATTGCCAATGACATTGCGTCGATTCAGTGGTACGACGAGCCCGAAGCCGACAGCGCAAGCCGTCCCATGCTTGTTCACTGCTCGGCTGGATGTGGCAGGACGGGAGCGTTTTGCACTGTGGATAGTGTGATTGATATGATGAAGCGCCAGCGGCTGGCCAAGCTGCCAGGCGGACAACCTCTTGCTCGGGAGCCAGAGGAAGACACGCAAATGATGGACTTTGATGAGGCCATCTCCCCCATGACTAACAGGGAGATGAGCTTCAAGTTCAACACGGATCACGAAATGGGCTTCAAATTCAACACGGATCCCGAGCCAAGACTCCAGGATGCAGGCATGGAACACTCGTCCGTCGATGGGCCCTGGGTGCGAGACGATTCGGTTGATTTGATTCAAAGGACGGTAGAGGACTTCCGCGAGCAGAGACTCAGCATGGTCCAGAGCCTACGACAGTATGTATTGTGTTACGAGACGGTGTTGGAATGGGTCCACCGATTGCATGACAGAGGCGCCGGCGCCAGTGCCGGCAAAAGACCTCGCAGCGAGAGCTACCAGTTCTCATGATACAATTTTGTTTTATTTCGATAATTAGTTAGACTGCATCCCGTCGAGGGTTTGCAAGATGGTACACCTGACGACGATCAGGAGGAATCAAGGCATTTGTAGGAGCACAGCAAAAGATGAGCGGGCACAGCAAGGGACGGCGTTGGATTGGAATTAATTTTTACGAAGAGCACACGCAATTACGCGGAGCAACAGGAAGCGTAAATGTCGAATGGAACACGATGGTTATGGCATTTTGGTAAACGAACACGACACTACGGAGTATAAGTGTATATATTTGCTTCATGGAACGGGGTCGACATGTGTATTCCTGTGACTTGTTCTCATGTTTCGTCTTGGCATAATTTGGTACCGGGAAGGGACTATACATAAAAGCCATTATTTCACTCGATCGTTTGCTCTGCTGCAAGGTGAAGTGATACCTGGTGATGTACTCGTAGATGTGGGACATGACTTGCATGGCGAGACACGAGATCCAGGGATGAGATGCATGTATGTAAAACAAAGCTGGGGCGCCAAGCGTCGATGACAGACATGGCGCGTGCGTGCATACATGAGGTACGAGTACATACATGCTACGGAGTACATGCTACTGACTAAGGAGTACGATACACGTATATATGATGGCCCGAGACAGGACGTGCATATGCATGTCTCTCTGTCTTGCGCACGGGGAGTCGTGGACGGGGGAAATCTGGGGAAGGATTCACGCTTTGCGGTATGATGAGTATGAAAGATGAGGATGAGGATGAGGATGAGGATGAGGATGAGGATGAGGATGAATGTACTGAGTGAGATGGATTTCGGTCCGGAGGACGCGGGATGGGGATGTTCTTGAGCAGGGGTTGTATGTCGTATGTCGTATGTCGTATGTAGGATATCAGATAGTGTAGTAGGCGGTGCTTCTGTGTAAGCGCGCGCGGTGATAAGTGCCGTGAGTGTGAGAGGTTGCGCGTACATACACTGATACGGCTGGGAGGCCGAGGTAAAGTCAAGTATACATAGGTACTGCTGGTAGATGCATCGTGAATTTGGCCCCTTGTTTTTTGCTTCTTTGTTTAGTCTGCTCGGTAATGGTTCTTGGAGATGTGAGCGAGGTTGTGGTTCGGAAGGGGCGGTGCTATTAATAGAACTGGGGTCTTTCGAGGCACGACATGAATGCATCAATGTAGGTAGATGGCAACAAATGTACATACAGAGTACAGATACGCATTACAGATGATAGGGGCGAGTGGTAGCTTCAATTGGTAGTATATGCGAGCATGTTCCAGTGTTTGATACAACGATCAGTAACCGGGTGGCCTCTGAAACTGGCTGCTGAAGAATTGCTGGGATGGCGAGATGGCTGGCGTGGAAAGGAATGGAAGGTGATTGCCAATCAGTCGGTGGGCGTCTCATATTAACACCCCCGCTGTTTTTTTGTTAACGGGGTAATGTTTGGGGAGAGGTAACGGGTACGACGAAGGATTGAGTGGTGGTAGCAGTACTGAGTGAAGAAGAAAATAACGAATAAAAGTGAAGAGGAAGTTGATTTTTTTGCTGGATTGGCGATGGGGATTGGTGATGCTATTTCATGCGAATCTGATGGTTGATATGGATCCGGTCTCAGGTGGTCTTGTACTTGTTTAGGCAGTACGGAGTAGAGCTGGCCTGCATGACCTCTTTGGCTGCGTGGATGACGTTCGGGCCCAGGTACCGGTACATGCAAAACTGGGGTCCAATGGCGGTGCCCTGGAAGATTGAATCATGATGCCGCTTTCGAACAGAGGCCAAGATATGTAGCAAGTACTCGTACAGTACTGTAGCATCGTGAATTCGGTCAATGGCCTGGACTGTAGCATCAATGTTCTGCTTACTCGTACTGCTGATGTGCAGCATGATGCTGGTCACTGCAATCAGCCTGGCGCGCATAATGAACTGACGAACCCATGGCGCTCAACAAACCTCGAACCAAGCCATTGAAGGGAACCAGACAGGCATTGATTGCCGGATCTCAGAGCTAAGCTCAAGGCAAACACCTGCAGCAGCTTCATCTCATCGCCGACCGCTGTATGTAGAACAGAACACGGGGCTCCAGCCACGAACTGGTGCGTGTACAAGTACATGTACTCGTACTAAGCCTCGCTGCACTGCACTCCAGGCCCTCGCAGGTACCGATACAGCGGCTGCAACACCGCCTTTCCCCTTCTGTCCGTCATCGTTGATTCACCACCCTGTCCTGTCGATTCCTCCTTCGAAACCTCGCATGCATCGGACCGGGGGGCATTTCTGACTGTCTTTTCCGCGACTTGCCATTTTCCTCTAATACATTCGCGCCCTCCGTTACGAGATCTTTTACTCTCTTCTCCTCTCTCTCATTATCTTCCTTTTCTTTGTCTATTAGGGTAGAAGCCGCCTTTTTACTTTTGGCAGCACTCGGGAAAAGGCTTCTGCTAGTTTTTCGGGGGTTCGTTCGTGTGAACCAAGACCAGGCAGCGCGCCGCCACATGCAACAACCTCCCGCCCTCAATCTTGCTGCCTTGTCCGACTTGCGTGGCCCTACGCTGCGAATGCTTGAAAGCTAATTTTACACAACTTTCCCCGGGCACGAAACTATACGGCTGAGGAACAAGCCTCGGCGGAACTTGCCTGAGTTTGGTGCCTTATAAAAAGACCGGAACCGGCAGACCGACCACGAGAACTCACAATCATGAACGAAACCAGCGAGCCGGATGCCATGCGTCGTCGCCACTCCATCGACCTGGCCGAACCCTTAGATACCTACGAAGAGTCTGACTGCGCATTCTCAGACGACAACCTGGGCATGGACATGGACATGGAGTTTGATCTCGCCATGCCGTCTGTCGAGGAAGACGTACATGATAACGACAGACGCATCTTCACGCCGCCGCCGCGCATCGCCGCTCGTTTCTACCGACCGTCACAGGCACGCCGCAGAGACTCGGCCGCCTCGTCCCGCCGCAACTCCTTCTCCTCCGCCCACTCCCGCTGCTCCTCCATCCAGCCCTCCAGCCGCCGCGATGGCGACCAGAGCAAATACGTTGCGCAGCACGTTCGCCGGACAAACTTCTTGGAGGACCGCCGCGCCCGGCTGGCCGACAGGGCTGCCCACGCCGAAAAGGTGCGCCTGAGGGCCGCCCTGGCCAAGGCGGCGCCTCGCGGACAGACGACCTCGGAGGAACGCGCGCTGGCTGCGGAGCAGGCGAGGCAGCGCAACTTGGCCGAGATTGTGGCCAGCTGCGCAGAGGAGGTCAAGAAGGCCAAGCAGATTGCCGAGTCCACCAAGGAGCGGCGCGAGCAGGAAATTGCAAAGATGAAGGCGCAGATGGAGGAGCGCATGGCCGAGGCGCAGAGGCGAAGGGAGGAGCTGCGAAACAAGACGGCTGTCAAGCGTGCCAGGGGCCACAGCGTCGTCAACAAAAAGTCCACGGAAGCGCTGCCGCAAGCCAAGGCCGTGCAAATGACTGATGATGAAGCAGCTGCCAAGATTCAGACTTGGTGGCGCGGGTGCGCGAGGAAGAAGATTCTCAAGGAATTCAACGCCCTTGGCCTCAGTGTGGATGGCATCAGAGACACTTCATTCGACACTGTCGTTCAGCTGCTTGCTCAGGAAAAGGTTCTCCTGGTTACGGCCCAGCTTCTCAGGATCTGTGGCTTGCAAGAGGGAGAGCCGGGCTCTGTTGACGAAATGGCGGCAGTTCGCACGTTTCTGAGTGCTTTCCTCATCCTTGGCCATCCCAACCAAGTGCTCAACAACTTCGACGAAGGTCCGGAAGATGGGGAATTAGAATCACAGCTCAGCGGTCATCGACTGCCCGCTACAGATCTCAGCAACCCCCAGCTGCAGGATTTGGTCGACAAAGCAAAGGATGTTTTGATTTCCTTTGAAAATATTCTGGCCTGGCTGACACCGGCCAACCGATACACAATGCCTCCCTCACTGCACACGACGTTCCCACAGGCCTACTCGGTGTTCTATAACGCATTCATTGCATGGAAGTCGAGGGACTCGAATGCCCTCATCGAGGTCATGCTGATGCAGATGGTGGAGCTCGACGCCATTTACCACACCGTCAAGGAGACTTCGGATGATGCCGCCGCGGCGCTGTACCGCAAGAGCATCGAAGACAGCCAGACCATGCTGATTGTAAGAATCAAGAGGCTGGCAGGCCCAGAAAGGGGCAAGAAGCTGTTTGTGCAAGCCATTAGAGAGGCGAGGAAAGCACGCAGGGCCAAGAAACAAGCCGGCGACACCAAGCCTCGAGTCGCCGACAGCGAAAGCGTGTCGGGAGATGCTCAGACGACGGCCAACGACTTTGTCTCGTCTGATTCTCAGATGCTCACGCCTCCCTCGACGCCAGCCAGCAAGAGCCAGGCTAAGGCAACGACTGTTAAGCCCGGCCTAAACGGCCTAATTCCCGACAACCGCGTCGTTGTGCACGAGCTGGCCATTAACAAGGAGTACCAGATCCCTGCCGAGGAGTACGTGGAGCAGCAGGCTGCCACTTCTCGGCCTCTCTACGTCCAGATGCGGGCGGCCATGGGAGGTGCCTCGGACGAGGCAAACTTTCGCATCTTTATGCTCAGGGCTAGTCACATCAAGGACAAGCTGCAGCGTCCGCTAAAGGAGGGAAACCCAATGTTTAACCTGATTGGCGAAATCCTGGACGTGGACATTGCGCAGAAGCAATTTGAAATGGGAAGCTTTTCGTACGAAAAGTTCTTTTCGGCCATGGCGTCTCTCCTGCCCAAGCTGTGCGCGCCGTTCCGAGATGACCAGGTCAAGGACCTGGTGCAAAACAAGCTGGGCGAGGGCAACGTGATTGACAGGATCGAGGCCCTGGACCGGTTTGTCGACGTCATGCTCTGCGACTACATCAACTACCTGCTCAAGATGGCGGCACCGCAACTCATCGAATCAGCCGTCCCGTACGAGACGAAACGATTCGGTGAGGAGCTAGGGGACGAACAGGACAATCTGCCGGTTGCCGAGGCTGCTTGGCGGTCGGCAAAGGACAAGGTCATGGCCGAAGTCCACAAGAGGGACGTTGAAGGCATCAACCACCCCAAGTCGCGACCCACGGCGTCCAAGATTTATGCCCAGATGCTCGTGGACGTCTTTACGCAGCCCACGCCGGTTGGCCCCGAGCAGATTCCGGAGATGCTCCGCCTCGACCAGGCCCGCATCAACCAGGTGTCGACCATGGTCCAGCGAATCATTACCGTGGGCGCCGTGCTGCTGCAGTGCAAAAACCTGCTCAAGCGCGATGTACGATCGGCGTGGAAGACAGAGGCTGCCCGTGTCATGGCTGTCCTCGAGGCCAACCATGCCTCGGTAGAGACGGCGGTGGAAGGCACCATGGCCGCTCTGGAGGCGGGCCGTTCCATGCCTCCTCCTACCAAGACTCACCTTCGTGCCCTGGTGACCAAGGTGCTGACGGCGAGTCGGGAGATGGCCCTCCGGTCGACGGAGCCGCGGGATCCGGTCTTGCGTCTTCTCCTCACGCGTCTACGGGGCAACATCTTGGCTCGCTTGGCGTCCGGCTCGGCTAGCGAAAAGGTCAAGGCTGCGAACACGGCGGGCGAGAAGCTGGCGAGCCTTGGGCTGTCCGAGTTTGTGGAAAAGGTTAGGCAAATGTCTGACTTGCTGGACAAGGTGGGAGCGGTTGATCGAGCAGCTCATGCGCCGTGGTGGGATGTAGTTGCGAACAAGGCCCAGCAGGATGATGCAGATGCTTAGACGGTGTTGCCTGTGCTGAGATGACTAGGAAGTTCATTCGTCCTATTCAGCCGTTTTGACGGATACATAACTAAGCGGGAGACAGGCTGTCTTTAGGCCATTCCGTCTCTATCACTTCTCTACCTCATTCTTTCCTTCTATCATCTTTCCTCTGTCTCTTCTTCACATTCATATCTGTTTCTGGTGGAACTTTCAGAGACCGGGGCTCCTCATCGGAGCCGTTGCAAGACGTGGCGTTTTACGGGAACCTGCATCATCTTTATTTTTTCATTATCATTTGCTTAAAGCTGGGGGTTGTGTGATACCGATCTGAGGGGAGTCAATTCTGGGTAGAAGCTGGGGTCTCAGCAGCGTCTTGGGGGGTTTCTTTTTTAGCGGCATCGTTGACACGAGCTTTTTGTCTTTTAACATGGGCTTTGTCTTTGTAAGATGAGCTGTGGCTCTTGAAACATGAGCTTTTGGTTTTTTTTGATTTGGGCGACTAAGGGTTTCTTTTTTATATACATTGTTTGGAAGGGAATTGAGTCGCTGACAGCGGATTTTTTTGTTTGTGATTGTTGGGTTTTTTGTGAGTGAGGTATCATATTATATAAGAATGACAATGTGTGATTTTCGAGAGTACTATCTGTGTTTCTTTGTGATGTTGAAGTGATGTCTTGTCAGAACTCTGGATCGTTATTTCGTTCTCTGGTCGCAATACCCCGCCTTCACCAGGTTAGTCGAAAGGGTCAATTATATATGATTTGGCCCAGAATAGGGGAGCTGACGCAGTCAAGCGGGAAATATAGAAGCTCAACGATATATTAGGCGTTAGGTAGCTGACATAGGAGGTACCCTGCATTAGCTTAGTACTGTCTAAAATATTTATAAACACTATGTTAATAGTTAATTCTGCGGGTTGTATTTAGCTGATGGAACACTCGTTTTTGAGCCATTCGTTAATCATCGTTGAGTAACCGTTTCACTTGTTGACAGTTCTCATGTCTGTCACATATAAACAACCACGAGCCCACTCATAAACGTCACCGTGGGCTCGGTGATTAGCTGACAGAGTAAAGTTAACATGACCAGTCTCTTGAACACGTTTTAAGAGACTGCGTTTTCTCTGTGATGTAAAAAGCGCACGATACTCACGATCCATGGCAGTCGCCGCCATGGGTCCGAATTGTTTCGTATTCTCTAACAAAAACAACGGGCGTGTCGGGATACTGGGCAAATGACACCAGAGACATCGCCTCTGTCAATCGGCCCGCTTCGTCAACAACTACAAAAGACGGAGTGGAGAGGAAGACAGGTGGTCAAACAGCGTCATGATAGCTACCGGGGGGACCAGCAACAACATCTGCAATGCTAACAAACGCCTCTATGAGTTCACGAGCGCGTGCCTTGTAGTCCTTTAGGTTGATGCGGCAAGTGTCTGGGTCGTTGATATACATTTCCCAGGACAGCATAATAGAAGGATACTCGTTTGGATAAGCCAGAACCTTGGCAAGCGAAGGTCAGAAAAAGCAAGACCGCAAAATGAATACGTACATACATCCAGTAATATAAGCACCTTAGTAATTAACTGATCTAGGAGTACTTGTATAAGAAAACATTAATTCAGCTAACAGCCGAATATTAATACATATATAGAGTAGCAGTTACTAGAGAAATATATATATAGTAGCAGTTACTAGAGAAATATATATATAATAGCAGTTACTAGAGAAAGATACATATAGTAGCAGTTACTAGAGAAATGTAAATACAGTAGTAGTTATTAGGGAAATAGAAATATAGCAGTTACTCGTTTTGTAGGCGTACCTATGATTTAACTCGAGGGTGTTTAAAATCTTCTCAGTCTTGGTTGTTCTGTCCTCCGCTTGCTTGGCTCGTAGTTGTGATGAAAGAGAAAACTCATCCGCGGCCGGGCTTCGTTCTCGAAATCGGTCTTGACAATATTTGTTCATCATCTTAATGAGTCCCCGTTCTGCATTGCTGGCGTTGGGGTCGACTTCCATCACCTTGGGCAAATGGTCTTCCGCAGCCATAAAGGCTTTCAGCTCAAGGTCATATCGGTGAACGCGTATCACACAATTCGATCTGGCATCATGGCTTTAAGGCGGCGAAATGCGTCGTCGACTTGAGTAGTCTGCGGTGCAGTCCACACAACAAATGGTTGTTGCTATTCATCAAACTCAAAGGTCATTTACTCAGGGAGGTTTTTTAGTTATGTCGATTCAAGGGATATTTATTCTAATGCATCCTGAAAAAAAGATCATTGATTCGTTTACAATACACTTTTCTATCACGATCTACTCTATTAATATGCTCCTAACCCTTTATTCACTTCTCTAGCTACAACTGTTGCAATCTTCAATGCAAATACTGTCAGTAAGTGGAAGGGGATTGAATGTAGTCTCTTCGGCTTCGGCTTCGGCTGGTGCTGCCGAATGGGCCCCGAAAGTGGACATTGGATGGGTAACTATTTTTTTCCTCCCCGGGGGCATCTGGGTTTCTTTACGTACTTTTTGTAAAAAGCGGCAGGTCCTTTTGTTTAGTATATCATTGCGTGATGTTGTTTTTAAATAAATGGTACGTTTGTAGAAGAAAAAGGGCTACAAAAGTGCCTGTTTATAGATACCTAGTATGGAGTGTGTACATGTATACACGGAGACGCTCGGGCTGATTGGTAGGACGGGACTTCGGAATTTTATGGTGGAGCGGGAATTAGAGCCGTACTTGGATTTTTTATCTTTTACCTTGCTCTATCTTTTCTATTTGGTTTGTGACAGGGCCGAATTGGAGGAGTCTAAATTTTACCCTTTTTGGCAGAGTTTCTGCATATCTTTGAGATTGAGAGCATTCATTGATATATGGGATTTGGAGTTTGAGGGTACCATGTTGTGAAGACCCTGGGGATTTTGCCTTCTTTGAAACGAATCGACGGGCTTTTTCTGCCGGCATGGGTGGGGTGATGAGGCTGGTGCAGCGCCGGCTGGGAGCTCTGGGATGGGAGCATTTGATTGCTGGTGAGGCCAGGATTGGATATGGAGTTGGAGTTGGGATTGGAATTGGAATTGGGTTGCGACAGGGCCGGTTCTTTGGGAGCGCGGCGTCGTCAGCCTTGTCTGTGTCGCCTTGCTGGTCTCGGTCTCTGTCAACGTCTTCGCCTCGGTCTCTGTCTCTGTCAACTGGTTTCTCGACTTCATCTTCGTCCTGGTCGTCTCGCAACAGGTCTGGTATTCGCAGGTATGTTGTGTTTTGTTCTGTATTTACTTGCTTGTCTTGTCATCTCAACACCATCATCATTCCACCTCACCACCAAACGCCTCTTATGCCCGCTCCCGGCCTCTGATTGGACTCATTCTCTTCAGCTCTCGTCTATTCTCGCCAATGCTGGGATTAGCCTGCTGCACAATGATATGACGCCCGCCAATGTCACTCACTCACTGCCACCCCTCCCTTGTTCGTTCCCCGATTCCCCGACCTGATACCCTTCAATCCTCTCTCACGGGCTATCTTTTGGCGTCTGGTCGCACTTTTGTCCCACCACTAAAACTGACGCCGAGCTGCCCCGCACCGCCGCGGCTCAATGCGGTCCAAAAGTGGCCCAAATGTTCCAAATTGTTTGGCTCTGGACAAAAAGCTTGACCTCATTGCAGCTCGTTTTCGCCTCGGAGCCCCATTGAATTTTGGCCAAGCTTACCATCGTCTTCTTCTCCGTTCGATTCCAATTGGACTTTCCCTTTCCGGCGTCTTTGCTGGCTCGTATCTTTATCTTTGCTCGGGCCGTCATAAAGTCATAAAGCTAAGCTGACCTGCCCCTCCTTCTGTCTTCTACAGTCTTCTCCCTTTGATACCCCAACGATCTTGCTCTGCACACGCCAGAGCAAACAATCCGCATAAAATGGCCGACCGCGACGTTCTCCCCGACAACATCAAGCCCTCCCACTATGTCTTGTCTTTGAGGGATCTCGACTTTAAGAACTGGACCTACAAGGGCACTGTGACGTAAGACCGAAGCTTCTCTTCTCCCCTCATCAGCACAGCTAATTTACTAAATAACCGACCTACAGCATCCAGTCTGAAATCGTCAAGCCCACCAAGCAAGTCGTCCTCAACACTCTCGAGCTCAAGGTCTTCAACGCCAAGGTCCAGGTCGATCACACAAAGTCTGAGCAGTCATTCGAGTCTTCCAATGTCTCCTACGATACCAAGGCCCAGCGCGCCACCATCACCTTTGACAATGAGCTCCCCGTTTCTAAGAAGGCCTCCCTCGTCATCGAGTTCGAGGGCATCATCAACAACGAGATGGCCGGTTTCTACCGCAGCAAGTACAAGCCTGCCGCCACCCCGGCTGCCTCTGTTCCCCGCGACGACGAGTGGCACTACATGCTTAGCACCCAGTTCGAGGCCTGCGATGCCCGCCGAGCTTTCCCCTGCTTCGACGAGCCCAACCTTAAGGCCACCTACGACTTGGAGATTGAGATCCCCGCCGACCAGGTCGCCCTGAGCAACATGCCCGTCAAGGACACCAAGCCCACCAAGGAGGGCTGGCAGCTGGTTTCTTTCGAGACGTCTCCCGTCATGAGCAGCTACCTTTTGGCCTGGGCTGTCGGTGACTTTGAGTACATTGAGCAGCTGACCGACCGCAAGTACAACGGAAAGCAGATCCCCGTCCGTGTCTACACCACTCGTGGTCTCAAGGAGCAGGGTCGCTGGGCTCTGGAGCACGCCCCCAAGATTATCGACTTCTTCTCTGAGATTTTCGACATTGACTACCCTCTTCCCAAGTCTGACCTGCTTGCTGTCCACGAATTCACCCACGGCGCCATGGAGAACTGGGGCCTCGTCACCTATCGTACCACTCAGGTTCTCTTTGACGAGAAGACTTCCGATGCTCGGTTCAAGAATGCCGTCGCCTACGTCGTCGCCCACGAGCTTGCTCACCAGTGGTTCGGCAACCTGGTCACCATGGACTGGTGGGATGAGCTGTGGCTCAACGAAGGTTTCGCTACCTGGGTCGGATGGCACGCCGTGGACCACCTGCACCCCGACTGGCAGGTTTGGGCCCAGTTTGTCAACGAGGGCATGGAGAACGCTTTCCGCCTGGACGGCATCCGCGCCAGTCACCCCATCCACGTCCCCGTCCGTGATGCCCTCGACGTCAACCAGATCTTTGACCACATCAGCTACCTCAAGGGCTGCTCTGCCATCCGCATGCTTGCCAACCACCTCGGCGTCGATACCTTCCTCAAGGGTGTCTCCAACTACCTCAAGGGCCACGCCTACGGCAACGCCAAGACCAAGGCTCTGTGGGATTCCCTGGCTGAAGCCTCTGGCAAGAACGTCAACGAGATTATGCACCCCTGGATTTCCAAGATTGGTCACCCCGTCCTGACCGTTTCCGAGGAGCCTGGTAAGATTGCCATCAAGCAGTCCCGATTCCTGTCTACCGGCGATGTCAAGCCCGAGGATGACACCACCACCTGGTGGGTTCCTCTTGGTTTGGTTGGCAAGAAGGGCGAGAGCGGCATTGCCGCCCTGTCCTTGGACAAGAAGGAGGACACCATCCTCGACGTTGACAGCGACTTCTACAAGCTCAACAGCAACGCCACTGGTTTCTACCGAGTCGCCTATCCTCCCTCTCGTCTGGCCAAGCTCAGCACCCAGCTCGACAAGCTTAGCACCGAGGACAAGATTGCCATTATTGGCTCGACTGCAGATCTCGCCTTTGCCGGCAACAGCTCTGCATCCGCTCTGCTGACCTTCCTCCAGGGCTTCCAGAAGGAGGCGCACCCCCTCGTCTGGAGCCAGATCCTTGGCTGCCTCGGCGACCTCAAGTCTGTCTTTGGAGAGGACAAGGAGATTAAGAAGGGTCTTCAAAACTTTGCCGTTAAACTGATTGACGAAAAGGTGAAGGAGGTTGGATGGGAGTTCCCCGAGGGCGAGAACTACCTTGCTGGTATTCTCCGCAAGGACCTCATCAGCAGCGCCGTTGCCAACAACCACCCTGAGTAAGCTTCCCAAGTTGACACAATCATTTTACTCAGCAGCTACTAACAATGAACAGGGTCAAGGCTGAAGCCCTCAAGCGATTCAACGCCTGGGTTGAGAACCCCGAGGCCAATGCCATTCCACCCTCTCTGCGTAGTGCCGTCTGGCGTGCCGGTCTCGACGACAACGCCGCTCGCAACGTCGAAGTCCTCAAGAATGAGTGGTTCTCCACCAAGGCCATTGACGGCAAGCTCATTGCCCTCGCCGCCCTCGCCACCGTCGACGACGCCGACATCATCAAGAACAACCTCATTCCCTTCAACTTCAACACCTCTCCTCCTCAAAACGCCGTCCCCGCTGCTGACATGCACGTCCTCGGTGGTAACCTGGCTCTCCACGCCGTTGGTCGTAACCTCCAGTGGGAGTTTATGAAGAGCAACTGGGATCTCGCCGTTGCTAAGCTCGGCAACCCCATTGTTGTTGACCGCTTCGTCGGCCTCAGCTTGAAGACCTTTACTGACGCCGCTATCCTGGACGATATTGAGCAGTTCTTCAAGGATAAGGACACCCACAGCTTTGACCGCACTCTGGAGACGGCCAAGGACAGAATCAGGGGCAGAGCTGCGTACAAGAAGCGTGACTCAGATGCGCTGAAGCAGTGGCTGTCGTCGAATGGATACTTTTAAACGTGAAAAGAATGTAAATTTAGCATGGGAATGTGGCAGAGTGCTCTCCCTTGGTGTATATATATGAATAAGGGCCTATGAAGCCACGCAGAATATGAATGACCTTTTTTACCTCTGATTTCTCTCGTTTCTTCCTTCTAGTGCCGTCATCTTTATCTCACGATTCAAGTCGAGTTCATTCATGTTGTGGCTGGACCAACTCCATAGAGACTAGTCGACCGAGACCCGAGCAGCCAATCAGTCTTGCTCCACGTTCCCAAAACGCAACATGTTGTTATGTCGTCGCAAACGATTTTAACGATCCCGTCGTTTCAGTGCATTAGCGGTAGCGGGAGGGATTCCATTGGATGCAGTGTTCACAACGAGGCTTGGCAAGATGGAGTCGGGATGGCGATAGCTACATAGGGGAATGGGTGGGTGTTGCAGACGTTGAAGGAATGAACGAATGAATAAGAAGTTTAAATGTAACTTAATGTTTTCCCTAAGTTGATGCTTTTACTAATGCACCTTTTGCGTTCATTCCCTGATGAATATATATCCCTTGAATGAATATGAGTCAGAACTTTCCCTTAGTAAATGACCTCCCCAAAGCACCTTTTGCGTTCCGTACTTTTTGCTACTATGGCTACATCCTTCTATTATCTGCTACTATAACTACATTCCTCTACCATCTGCTACTATACCTACATTGCTCTACCATCTACTATTAAGGCTATATTGACCTAGCATTCGGTATTAATTATGACACGATATATTGGATGGTAACATTGGGGTGTTGAATAGGCTTTTCTGTAAGCATTTTAGAGTGCTCTCTTATAGTATAGCATAGTAAACTACCATACCCGACCAACCGCGGTATCCCAACAACTACCATTGTTTGAAGAAGAAAAACCGGATTGTCTTGATAATATGGTGATGCTGAATTTGAACTGACGGATGAAGAGAAATGTTTGCCCGTAAACTAATGAATGTAACGAACGAAACTTGGCTTCCTTGTTTGGATTCCCGAAAATGCATTGCTAATTATACATTCGTTCGTCTACCGGCGGTGGTGGTCGTCCGTCAGCGTTCAGTCAGCGGACATGTCGGTGCTTCACTTCGTCCGGGTTCCAAAGTCTGTCGTCTGTACAGCTCTATCACAAGCTGTCTCATGCATCTGCCTCAGCCCACTACTGATGCCCAGGCCCCGTCTACGGGATGTAGACCTGCATCTGATCTATAAGAAGATGCATCTTTCGTCGACGGGCGGCCTCGTCCACTCCTTCCACGTTCATCACTTGCCTCATCTCATCAAGGATCGCTGTTGGTCCTCTGCTTGACCACAGCAATGGGTTTTCTCCTACTTGAATCCAACTGTGCTGCCGCTTGTCCTCCGTAGCTCCTTCTAGCCATCGTTTGATGTCGTCGAACCCGAAAAAAGCTGCCCAGACGTTCAGCCACATCTTCATGTCAGGCGGCAGTACGATAACCATTGGCTCCGTAAGTGTCTCCTTGAGTTGGGTAGACAGATCTTTGATGCGTCTGAAGTCACGCATTGTATCGATCAGGCTGCCGACTGCTACCAACGCATCCTCGCGTGTGATGGTCACCGTCTCCTGAACCAAGACGGATGGCAGAGGGGATTCCGTACGGACGATTAATCTTTGAACGGACGATTGCTGTTCGTGAGACATGCTGGTTGATTATCTTTTCTGTCTTCCAATCTTTCGGTTTCTCGTGGTTCGTCAGGAAGGTAGTAGGTAGACGAAGCGTGTGTTGTAGAGCTGCGTTTGAGAAAAGAAGAAATGGAAGATCGAAAGAAATGGAAAGATATAGAAGGTTATGAAGATTCGCAAGGGTGCTTGACCAGCTGTCAATGTTGTTTGTCAGATCCCTCCGTCGTCTGCCAACTGGCAGCGTCGACGAGGCAGCGCCATTTCGTTATTCGTTCTTGGAACTCCTTTCATTAAAGTGACCTACACCAGGCATAGATTATGGTAAAGAGTCTAGAGCAACTGCCAATTGATGTCTGAACTATAGGCTTTCATCGATTCTCTGGTATATATCCAGTCTTGAGCGCTGCTACTGTCACTACTATCTGCTACTATCGACATTTCTTCTAGTAGCCGCTATTACTGCTACTTTCTTCTAGTATCTGATATCATCGCCATTTCCTTCTAGTATCTGCTACTATGACTATTTCCTCTAGTAGAATATTATCACACGGAATGCTGAAAGACATCCCAACACGAGCTGTACCTCGACTGTTGATGGAATTATATTGAGACGCTGGCGAAAAATCCGTACTGCAAGAGAAGGCCTGTAATGACATCACGTCCATTGGTATCGACATTTCGCAATATCTTTAAGGCAATAGCAGCGATTACAGTCGGTGAGTTGAGGATATATCGTACGCGGTGCTCCTTCGTGAGGTCGACCGCCTGCTTGAGCTTTTCACAGAAATCGCGATATCCATCCCACTGTGACCACTTCGTTGCCTTGGGCGCATGTATCGAAATGCATTTGTTAATGCACGCGACGTAACAATCTCTGTGGTTCTCCTTCTCAAGACTGATCATTTTGAAGATTCCTCTGACCAATAGCCGGGAGAAATCTCTCTCCTGGTCTTTCGATATGGTAGCCAGGTTGATGGCGTCGTCGCCCCCATAATCCTTTACGAGTCTTTTGTATCTTTCGTTTTCCCGGATACGTTATGGATTGTTGAGAGGTCGAGCGTTGGACACTTGAACCACAGGGTTGAAAGGCTGTTCGTCCACGAGGTCAGACATGCTGTCGACTATTAAACCAAAGATCAGATCTTCGAATTTCAGGTATGTAGATTGTGAAAATTCTGATGTTTGCAGGGATTTCGGTGCGTGAGAAGCTTTGAGTAGGTATGTGTGAAAGAAGGAGACTAGAGCCATTGACATGCCCGAGAAGCCCATTCAAGAGGGAAATGTAAAGAGCGAAATGCGAAGACTGAACAGAGCAAACAAAAGATGAAACACAAAGGGGCTTTCTCTAGAATCATATAAAAAGGCAAAAAACTTTGGCTGTTCCAGCGTTTTTTGACAGTAGTTTCCCGGGTGTCTTCATCATTGACCAGCTGTCACGTCGACGAGTTAACATTATCATAATATCCCACCGTTGCTTACGCCGTTGGGTGGCTTGATATGCTATTATTCTTTTATAGGCAGTGGAAAAGAATCTGATGCAACTGTCAATTTGTATATGAGCTATAGTATTTGATCGATTTCTCAATACAAATATCCCATATAAAGCAGCTGAACAAATGACAATCAGTTGTTTCCATCCCAAAATAACAAGCAAGTCTTGAAGAGTTCTTTGGTCTGTCCGCATGCATTGACACTTTGCGTCAATAATACTTCTTCTCTCGAGTGCGGCAGTCGGTAGAATCGTTGGTATTTGTCTTGCTCTTTGCGACTTTCTTCGTCTTAGCTTCAATTCCATATACAACTTCGAGATAAGTTCGTGACTCGGCGCTGTTTATCTCGGCTTCTTTGCTGCACATAACTGGAAAACGAAGGAGGGTTCTTTTTTCTAATGTTTTTCTTCTCTTATTCTTCTAAGTGAAGCGAGATATGTGTTGAGAATTTTTTTAAAAAAAACGAAGCGTAAGTTGCGATACGCTTCTGTATTGGCGACTCTCCATCGTAAACGCAAAATGGGCAAATACGAGGGACAATAGCACGCCCAACAGTGACTCCAGTGTAACCGTGCTTTGCGACGGCATTTTAGGCATCGCCCAGGTGTTTGTCTACATAAGATCGCCACACCAGTGGTTCAATAAGTCAAGTCTCATAGTATTCGCAAAACTCGACTTCATTCGTCTTTACCGTGTAAACCTGGTGGACGGACCAAACATGATCCATCATACCGTCAACCGAGTCGAAATCGGGTCCGTCGCGGTGGATACGGCCTCCTTCAAGGTTCCTCGAGCATGCTCTAAAAAAAGCAAGTTGGCACCTTGTCATCGTTTGCGTCAGTCCTCTGCATTGTTCGCACCTGAGACCTCATGTGGTCACCTTGTTCTTTGATAGTGGTAAAAGTTTTGCCGCAAGGTACAAATTCGAACAGTTGATCACCATGGCCGCAGAACTGATACTCGCAAGGTCGATTCAGAGGGAACATCTAGTCTCGGGCGAATATGAGACCCTCTCCAAAGGCTCTTTAGTGTCTCAACGGACCCTAGTCGGATTTCCTCCAGAGTGTAATTCCCGTCCCGGAATAGGGCTGAGAACTTGTCGTCTCGATTTACCCACATCTTCAGCGGGATAAGGTTCCCAGAAACCAGCATGGAATGGTAGAGACGTGGACCGCTGTATAGTATCTGTCTGGGCACACTTGTAGCAGCGCTCGTCCGAATAATGAATTTCGGTTGGATCAATGCCACAGAAGCAGCACTCGTACGTTCCAGCTAGCGGTTCTTGTCCTGCCCAAAACGTATCAATGCCACGCGTAGCATTGAACCACGACATCATGACGCCTGAGAGTGCCGCCTCGTCTTTCCCGACATCTTTCATATCCGCCAATATGTTATTGTATACCGATGCCCCTCTCATTTTATTCCGACCAGCTCCTTTACCGACATTGCGATCTGGTGCACTATGAAGAGCCATGGGTGGATTATCCGTCTCTGCTTGGGCAACGTTGCTAGTAGGTTTGTGAATGCTGTCGTTTGACATTTTAATTTTGACTGATTGTCTCTTCGGTCTGATACTCGGCTAATGTTAACTCGCTCAATTGTTTTTCTTCTAGGGCTATGATTTCATCTCTGGCGACATCATCAAGCAGATGCAGCTTGACTGGGTACTGGTAAGTAGTAAAAGGGAATGTCGATAGTGGAAGAAGATGTCGATGATCGAAGAAAGTAGCGGTAATAGAAGAGAGTAGAGGAGAGTAATGCTAGTAGCAGAGAGTAGCTAATGGTAGAAGAAAGTAGTGATAGTAGTAGAGAGTAGTGATTAGTAGAAGAACGTAGTGATAGTAGTAGAGAGTAGTAAATAGTAGAAGAAAGTAGGAATAGTAGAAGAAATTAGTAATAGTAGAAGAGCGACAGTATCTGTCTCCTTTACCACGTTATGGAGGCTTTCCCATAATCATCAAGGCCGGTCACTGTCTATCCATGTCTCAATCTTCCATCTTGCGTACATAGTGGTTCACTGCGTATGTCGACGTCTCAGTAATCTGTTGAGAATCGGTGTATTTGCTCAGACTAGCAAGTCGTTGATGATGGTGGTTATAAGAGTGCCGTTTGACCACATGGACGGCCTAGGTTGAGTGTTGCCGTCAGTCGGTGTGGCCGTTTCGTCAACCATTGTGCAAGATGTGATAGAAAGATGCAGGATAGATCGCAAACCAACTGGCGAACTGAAGTAAGTTATATAGACAAGCAGTAGTCAATTCACCTGAGTGCGGCCGCTTGTATGTTCACCGCCACTGCATGCTGCCGTACACGGGTGAATGATCCAATGGTAGGTAGGTAGATCTAGGGTCCATCTACAACTATCTGGACACACGAGTGTTGCTTCACGAACGAACTCATGCGTTCCCAGCAGCTTCGTTCGCCACAAACATCCAGGAAGAAACATCACGCTACAGTAACTGTTAGTAAGGACAAGATAGCTGCGAACAACAGGTGGTTGGACGAACTTCTAGATGACACTTGGGTCGGGGAACAGACCAATTTAGACCATTCAGAAACAGCCCGACAGGAAGAGCAGGGAACCGCATTGTTCGTTGCCCGCCACTCTCACAAACGAGTCCCGTCAACATAACGAGACTTCTGGCTCTCTTTGTTCAGCAACTGGTTGTCAGTACCAGACGCCTGACAGACCCCCAAGAGCCTGGCCGCTTCATTGTGTGCGCCAGCTGTCAACCACCTCGCTAACCGATGCCATCTGGCACACAACTTCGAGTCAATCAGGGCTATTCATCTGTCTGTGGTTCGCACGTGTCGTCAGGTGATCGCACACTTTTTCCATCACATCAACAATATTCTCTCCGTGGCTTAGTCTTTTTCTTCTTCTTCATCATCGCAGTCACTCAACTCCCCCTAATACAGGTATGTGCTTTGCCCTTCAGAACCAGCTCAGTACATCTTCCCCCCTTTTCAATCCTCTTTACAATTGGATATACGTCGGCTAACGTTAATTAAATCAACAGCAGAGCTCCATTCAAGCATTGCTCGCATACAACCATGCGAACGCCGCTCTCCTCAATGATGTCGACTGCAAACATTCCACGGTCCCAAGTCTGGACATCTCCATCGCCCAATCTCCCACAACCCGGCCTGTTCTTTACGGACTGGGGGCCTCGCATTCAGTTGGCCAATCTTCATTCAACGGCGACGCGTGTTTTACCAAGACCAACGTACATGCGTTAAACGGAAGAAGATCGTGAGATTGTCGCTCTCTTCGACAGTACTGTGTTCCCGTACCCACGGTTGAGCACGTACTACAGCCTCGCTTGTCCCTTGAGGACTTGGAGGTTTGGCGCCTTGTCGGCAGCCGTTATTTGTTACCTTTTTTTCCTGATTCGTTTTTGAAGTTCTGACTGCATCCGGTGAGTACGCCTATAATTATTTGCGAGAGCCGCTCTCTCGACTGGTGTCGTACTAACAGACGTTTGTAGTACATGTTGTTACATGCCTTTCGGTCACTTGATAAAACCAGTACGATGCTCCCGTACCCACGGTTGAGCACGTCCTACAGCCTCGCTTGTCCCTTGAGGACTTGGAGGTTTGGCAGCCTTATCGGGCAGCTGTTATTTGTTACCTTTTTTCTTTGCGGAGTGCTTCTTAAGATCCCACCGCACCCCGGTTGATATGCCATCGACAATTTGCGAATAACGCTCTTTCGATTGGTGTTGTACCAGCATACGCTTCTACTATACCTTGTTACATGGAGCTGAGAGACCTCGTTCAACAGACTTCCTCCAGCCTCGCTTGTCGCTTGAGGACTTGGGGGTTTTGGTGGCCTTAACTGGCTGCCGCTTTGCATTTAATTTTTCTCACCTTTTTTCGGTTCGTTTTTGAAGTTCTCACCACGCCTCGGTTGACACACCAACGACAATTTACGAATATAGCCCTTTCGACTAGTGCTATACCAACGAACACTTCTACTGTACCTTCGATGTTACATGGAACCGGGAGATCTTGATCGACAGACCTCCTCCAGCCTAGCTCGTCCTTCGGGGACTTGGGGGTTTGGCAGCTCTGCCTGTGGCATCTGCTGTATTTGATAATTCTTTTTCTTTGCGACGCGCTTTTAAGGCCCTCACCGCACCCTTTGTTCGATATGACTCGTATTCCTCTTTATGATGAACATCTCAGTACATCATATGAGTGGCGAAGCTTGTCCCGTCAAACATACAACCTCTTTCCCTTCCTGTATGCCGTTTTGCCCCCCTTTCAAGACAATGGGCATTCGAATACTTGTATGGCACGCCTCCCTCTTCTGCAAGATCAAGACAAAACATGGAAAGAAACAGACAATCACAATAAGATACGCATACCACCGACTCGCCAGTCAACGAAGCAGTTGGTCGTGTGCCTTCCTGTTGTTCGCTCTTGTGGACCGATCCTCGCCGGACAGTTTGGATCACAGACATACGACCTCACTCACCATGTCTCATCAACCTAGATTGTCCCTTACGGACTTTGGGGCCAGGCAGCTACTGCGGCTGCCGTACTTCGAGTTACCCAATCCTTTGATCTCGCAACGCGCTTTTATATTCAGCCCAATGCACCCCGATAGTACACCCGCGAGGACTTGCAAGTATTGCTCTCCAAAACCGTGTCAATCAAACAGACAATTGAGTCTCATACCATCGACGAAGCTGCACAGACGCAGGAGAAACGCAGCTGTATGCCACTTGTTCAAATACGATGACAGCTGGCGGCCAACAGGCACGCTGAATGCGTAGTCAAACGCGAGCTTCAGAGGTTGAATAAATTTCGATCGCTCATTTTCATTCTTCACCTTTTTTTCTTTCTCCAACACCACCACTGAAGTCCTCGCTCAAGTCTTCACTGACGTTGCGACACACAAGCACGACTACGAAAGAATAGTCCTTAACACTCTGATCCATCTTCACGCTGCCGCTCAACGAACGTAAGTCTATTTCCCACGCAACAGTAGCTACCACCGCACCATCGCAGTACGGCCAGTCTGAGAGAATAGAAACGGTTAACGAACATGTAGGAAACTCAGAGACAGACCAAAGCAACGGCGAGGACAGTGATGTAGAAATTTTCGACGCGACCGACCTGATCAACGAACATGTTGTGGTGAGAAATTACGCGGGCATACTTGAGCATTTCTTCTCAGGATTCGTAAGATTCAAGACGCCCACGCTACCTTCAGATATCGAGCTTACGACTCGGATGACCATCACGAGGGCGCAAGCTATAGAGAAGCTGGAGCCTTACCTCACTCGCGCACGTCAAGAGAAATTCCAAGCCAGCGTGACTGACGAACTCGCAAAGAGAATGAGCGAAGAAATCGTTCAAGTGATGGACGCAGATACGAAGACGTGGCTACGTACGTGGGCCATCTTTGTGGACAAGCCAGACATACTCAAATGGGTGGATGACGCAAAGGATGATATGGAAGCACTTGAATACACTGAGACTCGCACTCAACCTGGACGACCCATGTGGTCGAATGATCCAGCAGACATCATCATTCAGGACTTGCTGGAATACGCAAGGGCTCCAGGCGTTCCATTTGCCGTTCGGTATGGTTTTCAAGCCGCAACATACGCCATCAATCACTATGTGAAGGCGCTGAAGGAAAAGCACCGTACGCGGCCAAACGCTGAAGCAATGAACAAACTTGACGACGTGATGAATACCATCAAAGATGAGGGAAGCGAGACACGAGATTTTTTCTAGGGAGGCAAACGAACATGAAGAGGCGTTTCAAAAGAAGAACTGGACTTGTTAACTAATTCGGACGATGGGGTTTCTGAAGAAAGGCACTCTCCATAGGGGAAATGGGAATAGCAAGTTGGGAAAAGTGCTTCATCAAGGCGTTATGGGATTATCAGCAGGGATCTGGTTTCGATGAAAGGAATAAGAGCTTCGTCAAGGACATTGGCCCATAGCAGCTTTCAAGCTACATAAAATCAGCAGCAAATAAAATTCATCATTCGGGCGGTATTGCATTGGAAAAAAAAGGACATCGACTTGGCATTAAAGCGAAATGTAATTCGCTTCAATCAAGATGACACTGACTGCTATGAGTACCTGATCCAGTAGTTTTCCGCCCCCTGTACGCTAGGCGGGTGCTAAGCTTATCCTTATCTTATCGGTGGCCGATAATCCAAAATTTCTTCGACAAGTTGGTCCCGCCAAGGCGAAAATCAATCCCATACAAAATCGCCTCCATTGCGTCCCAAGCAGTCGCAAAAATGGTGAAAAGAAAGGTCGCGGCGCTCGAGAAGATCGATGCGGACTTGTATGTTTTGCTGAATCAATATGCGCCTCTATCTCTTGTTGTGCTAACAATCATGGCAGCGCGAGTCTTCAGTACAAAATCCGTCGGGATCCAAAGTAAGCTCTTCATCGGCTTCCGCCCGCCTTGAAGGACCATCGCTCACGTTGTTCTAGATCCTACAAGGACGATTTCCTGAAGCAATGGGAGCAATATGAGGCTCAGCGCGAAATCTTCTTCATGTCGCCGACGACGGCCGCCGCCGACTCGGTGGAATCCTTCCACAACATGATCGACCTCATTGCGCACGTTGCCGACTGCTACCCCGAGGAGACGCGGACGTTTCCAGACGATTTGAAGGCCATTGTCTCACAGAATCACGAAACCCTTCATCACGAACTGAGAGACAAGGTCGTCGGCAGTCTGGTGCTGCTGCGCCGCAAAGAGGTCATCGATTCCACTAGCCTTCTGACAACGCTGTTCCCAATCCTTGTGTCCTCGCGAAGCAAGTCTATGCGAGAGATGCTTTTCCAGAAAATTCTCAGCGACATGCGCAATTCGAATTCCAAGTCCACCAACCACCCGCTGAACCGAACCATTCAGGCCGTGCTTTACAACCTCGTCACAGCAGATCGCTCTTCACCAAGGGCCATCTGGGCTATCAAGCTGACGCGCGAGCTGTGGAAGCGACAAGTTTGGACAGATGCGAAGCCAGTCGATGTCATGAAAGAGGCGTGTTTGGCCGATAACGAGAAAGTTGTCATTGGATCTGTGCGATTCTTCCTGGGAGGCGACAAGGAGCGTGAAGAGCTCGAGGACGAAAGCAGTGACGAGGAGATTGATCTGGCCAAGGTGAAGCATCAGATTACCATCAACAAGAAATCAAGAAAACAGAAGCAGGCGTACAAAAATGCAGTCGACAAAGTCAAGAGACAAGAGAAGAAAAAGTCAAAGCCTCACCCGCTCAACTTTTCGGCTCTACACTTGCTACATGACCCTCAGGACTTTGCTGAGCAACTATTCACAAAACACCTTCAGAGCACAAAGAACAAGCTTTCGCTGGATACAAAACTACTCGTTTTGCAGCTCATCACCAGATTAGTCGGTCTACACAAGCTTACCATTGTGCCGCTATACTCTTGGTTCATCAAGTACCTTACACCCAAGCAACAATCCGTCACATCAATCCTCGCCTCCCTAGCACAAGGTGTGCACAACCTGGTGCCCCCTGATGCTCTGGAGCCTCTTATCCAAAAGATTGCGAACGAGTTCGTCTCTGAAGCGTCGGCGTCCGAAGTCGCTGCCGTTGGTCTGAATGCCATTCGTGAGATATGCTCGCGACAGTCTCTAGCCATGACGGAGACGCTGCTGCAGGATTTGGTCCAATACCGCAAGAGTAAAGACAAGGGCGTCATGATGGCTGCCAAGGGACTTTTGTCTCTATACCGAGAAGTCGGCGCAGACATGCTCAAGAAGCGAGACCGAGGCAAAGATGCCACCATGGGCATCAGCTCCGGCTTGATGAAGCAGCGCAAGTTCGGAGAGGAAGAGGTCGGCGGTATCGAGGGTCTGGATCTCCTCGCCAAGTGGAAAGAGGAGCAAAGGAAGCGAAAGCGCGCCGAAAAGGGCCTGCCAGAGGATGGAAGCGACGTCTCCGGCGACGAGAAGGATAAGGATGAAGATGGCTTCAACTCTGATGAGTGGGAGGTTGGTTCAGAAGACAGCAGCGACGAGGGCGAATGGATCAACGTGGAGCATTCTTCAGACGAAGACGAGCCAGCTCCCAAGAAGCGAAAGGGAGATGAAGAAGATGAAGAAGACAATGAAGAAGACTCAGCCGCCGAGCTCGAACGCATGACCAAGCTCGCCACAACCACAATCCTCACCCCCGCCGACCTCGCCAAGCTCCAGGAACTCCGCGCCGCAGCCTCCGTCCAAAAGGCCATGGGCAGCAAATTCCGCAAGAACAAACACCAGCAGAACCCCGACGGCCCGACCCACGCCGACGACGGCCTCACCGCCGAGAACATCGAGGCGCCCATCCGCCTCCGCAAGCTGACCAAGGAGGAAAAAGTAGCACTCGCCAAGGAGGGTAAACCGGACCGCGAGGAGCACAAGAGCACGCAGGCCATCCGCAAGTCCAAGAAGGACGCCGCGGGGAAGAGCACGAGCAACAGGGAGAAGCAGCGCAAGAAGAACTTCTTGATGACGCTCGGCAAGGCAAAGAGCAAGCAGAAGAGGAGCTTGGTGGAGACGAGGAAGGTCTTGAAGGGGCACGTGGAGAGGAGTACGAGGGGAGGAAGGAGGAGGAACGGTACATAGATGTAATGCTGTTGGACTTCAGATTAGGATATGGTATAATAGGGGATGATGAATTGTTCTTTTCAACTTGTTGTGAAACAAAGCGCATTGTTACATATATAACTTTGGGATTAGACAAAGAAAGAGAAATAGAAAAGTTTGACGTGGACACAATGAAGCAGCACAGAGTGAGAGTCAAGTTGTAAAGTTATGTATTTGCCATGAAATCATTATATGCATAACATGTGTCCAACGGAAAAGCTGGTCACAAAGCAAGCGACGATACTGGTATCCAAGAAAACTCATCCATCCAATTTAATAAACCAAAACCACCTTGTCCCATGTCCCCACGCTCTACAACCATATTTACTGAACAGTAGTGACCACAGGCTTCTCATGGTCCATCTTCTCCGCAATCTCCTCATCGTTCGTGTGGCCCTGGGTGCCAACGTCAGTCTCGCTAAAGGCATCGACGACATCCCGGTACGCGGGCACAAAGTTGACGCAGAAGGCATACGACCAGGCCACGACGAGGAAAGATAGGGGCACGACCATGCTGATGCCGCTGCCGTGACGCTCTGCAGCCACAAAGGTCAAGGGGGGTACACAGGCACCACCGACAACACCGCCGACGATGAAGCCACTACCACGCTTGGTGTGTCTGCCGAGACCACGCATTCCAAGGGCAACGATGGTGGGGAAGCATACAGACTCGAAGAAGAGGACAACGTAGAGCATAGCGATACCGGTGTCGTTCTTTTGAGTAATGGCCGGGCAGATGAAGATGATGCACATGCTGATGAAGAAGAGGAAGATCCATCTTGGCTTTACAAACCGCATGATACCACTTCCCGTAAACCGACCGATGGCGAAAGCGGCCTGGGCACCGGCAAACAGCTTAGAGCCGAGACTGCTCGAAGTTCCTGGTTTAGTAGCCACGGCATAGTTGATGAAGGAACTGGCGATTGCAACCTGAGCACCGGTATAGCAAAACTGGGCAAGCGCGGCGTGGAAGAGTCTGTACTGCTTCCAAAGTGGCTGGTCATCTGAGCTGCCGTGGGCCTCTTGAGCCTGGAATGCCATGTCTAGAGAGCATTGCGTTAGCAGGATGCGGTAGGAGGGGTTGTATTGCAGATAAAGACTCACCGGCATTCGTAATCTCAGGGATCTTAGCGAGGAAGAATAGGGTCGCCAAGAGGAGGACAAAGACAACAATGGCCAGGTAAACCCATTGCACGTTCTGAAGCGCACGCTCGTCGCTGAAGTTGAAGAAGACGTATGAGCCAAGAACGGGAGCAATCACTGTGCCGATACCGTTGAAAGCCTGGGAAATGTTGATTCGGATCTCAGAGTACTTCGGTGGGCCGCAGACTGGGGTAGATCATGTCAGTGGGGATGGACGGAGAGGGGCAGGTTAACCATAATTGAGTTAGACGACATCGCGTCACATACCTGTGATGAAAGGATTGGCGGCAGTCTCCAGAGAGCCAAGACCATTGCCGATGATGAAGATGGAGGCGCAAAAGCCTCCAAACGACTTGGCCTTGATGCAGGGGATGGCGATGGCAGCGCCTACAGCGTACAGGAAGAGACCCCAGATGAAGACGGCTCTGTATCCATAGTGACGGAGAATCCAGGCTGCGTGTCCGAGAGAGGCCAATGGATATGCGCTGGACAATCTCAATGTTAGCTTATCTGCTTGGCAAAGCGCGACGGATTGCGCAGCGAGATGGGGAAATTTACCCAAAGTAAGCGGCTTGTAGACCAGAGGAACGCGCCTGGTCGATATGGAGCGTGTTCTGGAAATGCTTGTTGAGCGTGTCGAGCAGGCCGTAACTGAATCCCCAGAGGAAAAACAGGACGGTGACGAGGGCGATTGGGAAGATGGACTCCCTCAATGTGAGCTCGGCAGCTTTTGTGCGGCCTTTGTCGTTGGCCTTGAGCGACCTGGCCTTGAAGAAGGATGCGACGCCCATGGTGGTTGATTCCTATCTGGCGGGCCCTACCAAAGGGAGAGAGACGGAAGTGAAGAGAGAGAGAAGAAGAAAAGAGGTGAAGTTGCCTGGGATGCTCTCAATCAAGGCTGCGTTTTTCGTGCTGGGAATGCGACCCTTATCACTCAATTCGGTCGACCAGCCCCTCACATCACCAACCAGGGTTTACTTTGACTCGTAAAGAGGAATTTCTTGTATGGCCTGCATCGTATTGTAGCGTTTCCTTTCCCTGGCAAAATGTGGACATGATCATCCGGACCATTACCGGCCTCATACTCCAGGTTGGTACTAGCCCAGCCGCCCTAAAAAATCCCGTCGGCAAAATCACTCCTCCAAATAGCACATAGTGTTGTCTGTAGCCGCGTCCTTTAAAGTGTAGCGTCCAGTGAGGCATCTTGTTCACATGGCAGAGAAATTACCCGCAGGTCATAGAACAGACGAAGAACGTGGCTCTCTTGCTGTGGCGCCGCCCGGCTGTTAGGCGGCCCCGAGGGAGAATTCTCCGCGATGATAGCGGTTGAATCGTGTCCGAGGCCATTGCTAGCAGGCTTGATATTCACCTAAACCTATACACGCAAATAAAACACCCGTCAGCCCGCCTTTAGCAACTCTGGAGAAAAGGCGGGGCTCGTGGTGGAGATGTCTGGGCTTGCTGGGGTAGAAGGAGGCGGGGAAACAAGCAGGACTGGCCATTGGTCTGAAGCGAGTCCTGGCATCCTTGAGATGCTGGGTCTCGAGTCAATGCTGGCCCGAAATCCTGGAAGTCTGGCCGGCGGGTTGGCTGCAGAGAGCACGAGGAGGATGGGCCGATGACGGTTGTGTTTAGTGACAGTGGCTGTTGGCCGACGGCGTGCCTCGTCCCAGAAGCGAAACCACCCCGGATATCACAAACCTCGTCACCGTGACACGACCCCCCAAGGCGAACCTGCCGCTGTCTCGGCTGTAATACTCGCAGATTCTGTGCGGGGGCACACGTATTGCAGCGTCACGATCTGCTGGCGCTAGAAGCCGTGGAATTTTCCACCCAGCAGGACAATAAGGAACAGTTTTCCCCTCAAAGTTCGTGGGGAAATCAGAGACTGCTCCAAATGGTCTGCCGTACCATCCAACCATCTGCCTGCATTGCCACTCACATTTGATAACTTGTGGCGTCCGGTAGCCGCGTTTGGCCCCCCCTGCGCTTACATCTTTTCCCCGATGTCCTCGCGGGGGTTGTGGATTGGCTAAGAAGCATGTGCCGGTTAAGCATAGCGGCGTGCGGAGGTGTTAGCGAAATGGCAAATCTCGCAGCTGTTTTGTTCCAAACGGTTGGGCGGACAGACATGCAAGTTATTAACAGGCAGAAGATAAGAGGCATGATGCGACGATATGCCGGCCAACAGCGTGCTCGGTCAGTGCCTGAGGTTGCAACCGCAGTACACCCTCCAGTCCTCATCACGTGAAACCTGATTTCCCAGTCTTTTCTCCTTCCCCAGTACCAGTACCTCTCATTTGTATCTCATTAATACCTAACCCATGTATGAGCAGCTGTAGTCATTAGAACAGTACGCCGTCTTGTCTAATTTTGTTCCCTTGACGGAATATCTATTGGGCCGTCGTCAGAGGCTTTTCGGGTATTTAATCTGTGGCCGACTCAACGTCTCTGCTTCGTCCACCTATGAAAGCTCCCGTCGGAAAGGACCCGACGGCTCCAAGTCCTCCTCTCTTCCCCAGATCTCCAACCCCAACTCCAGCTCTAGCTCCAGCTCCAGTGTTTTCAGCCCCAGAAGCAGGTCACGGTTCCGGGGCCCCGGACTACTGGCTAAATTGGTGAAGCCCTGCGTTAAGCTGCCGCGAGGCGTGGCGTTTTGGAACACCAAGAACCGAGATGCTAAATGGACCGTCTTGGCTCTTCAACGTGATCGACACGCGGCGACCGACCATTGAAGATTTACTAGATCACATGTGCGAAGGGGACTATGCCAGCCTTTGTCCCAATCAAGCCAAACAGGAGAAGCTTCGCTCGGCTCGCCCACATATTGAGATCGACTATTGCATCGTTCTACTGCAATCCGCTTTCCAGGGATGGGTTACTCTGCTTATAGCTGAACAGCGCAAGGATGAGGCGCAAACGCTAGATATCTTGAGATCGGATGATTTGATCGCGTGGTGTATCTGGCTGCCTTTTCACATTCTCCCGTCGGCTATCTTGGGTCGAGACTCTGCGCTTGGCATTATTGCTGCTGCCTGTTAGTCATCGAGTTTGATTTCCTCTGCCAGATGTCGTATATCGTATCCCGACGCTCTAATTCCATCCGTATTATTATTGAATGCCAAATGCTAATATTGATCCCAATGTCCTGAATTTCATTTTGGCTTCGCCGAGCTCCGGACGAGAAAGGTTTGTGACAGAATGTCATCGGACTGACTAACACGCGAATTATCTCGTCGGTTAATTATAACATTCATTAAATCAATCCAACGATGCTTCATATCTTCTTTAAGCCTTCATTATTCTTGCATGCTCCGCAACTCCTCTTTTAGCCTACCAGAAGCTCCTTCGGTAGTCTGAACTGACCGTGAAGTAGAATCAGGCGTCGTCGAATAACTCTGACTCGATGGCCAGACTCTTCGGATATATATTGATACGAAATACGACCTTATTAATTACTACGGGCTGAGCTATTGAATTCTATCTTACCGAGAATATCTTTCACAGAAGTGTACCGCCTTCTCTCGGTGCGAATGAACCAAATTGGATCCCGGCGGGAAATAGCGATATCTCAAGCAGACCAGCTTGGCCAGTTGATTTAGCTACTGTCGTGTCTTTTTCACCTTCGCCGGCGCTTACGAGCTGATAAAATATGGATCATGGCGACATTCAGTTGAACCCGTCCAAGATTTCGCTCTTTTTTCTGTATGACACAGCCGTGAGACTGGTGGAAGCGGACGCAACAAGAGATGTTCTCAGCCAAGTTCTAATTACAGTGAAATTACTTTCTTTCTACGATGTCTCGCGACTAAAGCACTACTAAAGAAATTGTGCCC